TATGTATGTATGTATGTATGTATGTATGTATGTATGTATGTATGTATGTATGTATGTATGTATGTATGTATGTATGTATGTATGTATGTATGTATGTATGTATGTATGTATGTATGTATGTATGTATGTATGTATGTATGTATGTATGTATGTATGTATGTATGTATGTATGTATGTATGTATGTATGTATGTATGTATGTATGTATGTATGTATGTATGTATGTATGTATGTATGTATGTATGTATGTATGTATGTATGTATGTATGTATGTATGTATGTATGTATGTATGTATGTATGTATGTATGTATGTATGTATGAACGAACGAACGAACAAACGAGCGTACGTAAGTACGTATGTGTGTATGCTTGCCTCTTTGAAAACATATATGTCATGTTCTGATGAACACATAACGTTCGTGCTGTTATGTTAGTTCAACTATTTTAATTTTTACACCTACCTATTTCTGTGAACGTGTGATTTTGATTGGTTTTGATTGGTAGATTGGTTTTAAGGGTTGAACCTTGGATATATATATATATGGGTTGAACTTGAATTAGAAACGTGGTTGTTTGCAAGCGGGCTTGGATCTGTTTCCAGAGATTGTTCCGTGTTGGTTCGCAGTGATGTGTCGTTCTTTAAATGTAATCAAATAAGATGTTGGTGGTGGTGGGCTACACTCGTTAATTCAAATGGGCTTCGTTGTCCTTTGATAGAAACAAAATTGATTGGCTATTTTTATTTTATTTTTTTTATCTATTTAAATTATATTAGTATGAAATGGAAGTTTGTATAATCCCCAAAAAAGGTAAAAGAAAGTTAGATAATTAACAATGGGCTGTTACTTAAAATAACAAGAATTTAGTGCAGTGACGAGAATGCACCCACCCCTCGTTTCAAAGTGGTATCACCCGAACGTACATTAGCATAAAGCTACAAAGAGAGATCGCCTGTGATTGGTTGAAGAGAAAACGCGATGCTGATGATGATGATGACAAAGAAGGCGCTGATGATGATGTCGAACGATCATCCCGCATACGAAATGAAAAAAACATTCTCGATGTTTGTAACAGTGTGTGGTGATTGTGTGGTTTCGAGAAAATTGGAAAATAATGGGAAATTAATTGTTCAAAAAATGACTGTTGGCTTGATGTGATGTGGTGGCAGTATCAACACGTCTGCTTGGTTGTTAGTACGTTTTCGTTCAATTCATTTGTGAATAACAGAGTTGTTAGTAGTTCTTGGTATTCAATCGTTACATTCTAAATAATATTTATTATTTACCTAGATTTTCTCATATGTTTCTAAAAATAATTATGAACAAGATTTCTTTTACTGTACAAATTTTTAATATTGAACAATTTTCTAACTATAATAACTCGGGGTATATTAATTTATTTCCAACGTAATTGGAACGTATTTGTTCGTAACCGCATGACAAATGAAGAGTTCAAGTATAAATTCATTAAAAGTTTTAAAAATAATTTAGCTGAGTTCCTTACATTACATGTCCATCAGTTCTGAAAACCAGCTAACTGACGTAATCCTTACGCTTTGTTGAAAGAATGGAGATGTGCTGTTGAGCGTTGAGCAATCAATTAAATTTAACTGATCAATTAATTTATCTCAGTCAATAGTTTTGTGCTTGTATGACAAATCTTCTTAATTCGTAGCAAGGTTTAATCTATCAAAAGGCGGCTTATATAAAATTCTGTATAAACAAACCTAAAAATATAATTATTATATTGTTAGTTATAATTATTATTAATTAAACACATTATATGCATATATATATATATATATATATATATATAGAGAGAGAGAGAGAGAGAGAGAAAGAGAGAGAGAGAGCCCCATAGATTACCATTTTAAAAGGATTAATATGAAACAAAGTCGAAGTGGAATGCGTAAATAAAGGATTTAACACCTGGTATGTATGAGGATGAATACGTGGTGGAAATAAATAATAATTATGCATATTTCTTTTGTTTTACGTCCCTTTTCTAACTTTCCACCTGTACCTTCGACTTTATACCTAACCCTAAGACCAGGCAACATCAATTTTATTGCACGGTACAATGTTTCTAACCCTGTCGTAAAGTTGTCACCTTAGTTTCAGTATGTCTTATAAAAATGCCCAAATTTATCAACTGTCTGTCAATTAATAAGAAATAGTTTATTTGAATTTTACAACTTTGCGTAGGCAGATAACGTGATTGTTTAAATAATGTATGATTTAGTTATTAAAATTTTAGCGAAAATAATACAAAATTATATTTAAGATGTTTAAATTTCGTAAATTTAAATTTCCATAATTGCGTATAAATAACTTTTATCAAAGTAGATGCATTAAACATCCAGACCAATGAATTTTACGAATGTATGTGTAAAGTAAGTACACATGCACTATTGTCTTAAAATACTCCTGCTTCTAATCAGAGAGATAAATTGGCATATAGGATCGTATATACAATCACACACTTCAAAACACACACACACACATGTGTACACGAAGAGGTGCATACGTATGTATGTATAATGTAATGTACGTGTATGTGTACATTTCGCAATAACATACACTGATGCACATCTGATGAACGAACGCACACACACACACTCATTCATATAATCACCGTGAGATAAGTTTATTATTTTGTTCAGCCATGCAGCTGTTAGTTTTGCATGTTGTAAAAGATGCTGGCTCTATCCTAAATTAGTCTATATAATTTTATGCTCGCATACATAAATGTTCTTTTTCATATATATATATATATATATATATATATATATATAGGTATACACACACACACACACACACATATATATATATATATATATATATATATACATGATGATCCATCCTTGATATATATATATATAAATATATATATATATATATAACTATATATATATATATATACCATTGCTATACAGGTTGTGTTATTAATAGGTACGTATATAATATAGGTGGATGGTGTGTACGTTTATACAATCTCCGTGTACCTTCATAACGAAGATAAAACGTGGCATGATAATTTATTTTGTTGGAAAGGAAGATAGAAGAAGAACGTCTGTGAATTGTTGTAGCTTGTGCTTCTTATATTTTATAATTTTAATTCGAAACAATCTTTTAGAAGGTGAGATTATGATGATGAGAATTTTCATGGAGTTTTATTTAAAATTGTTAATTTTAAAAATTATTTGTTGGCACATTCCCGATTTTAAAAAAACGACGTGATAAACCAATATGGCGTTTTAATGGCGTTTTCTTACCTTGAATAATTTGAACTTATCGTTTAATTTTAATGTCTCAAAAATACATTTAGTTACTTTATAACGTTTTTATAATTAATTTACCATTTTTTCTGACTATGTCGGTATTTTTCTCGTATTTTCTTTCAATTGCGTTTTATTTAAAATTTTTACGATTTTTTCTTAATTTTAATATTTTTATAATTTAATATTAATTTAAGTCAGGTTTCAGCTGTTCAAGCTGAATAAATAAAATAAATAAAAATTAAACCTGCTGATGAACATGATACTAATTAAATTTCGCAATTTGTATTTGATAAGGTGAAACCAAATTTCACTCTACACTGTAAAAGTGTAATTAATTAATCTGTAATGCTTTTTATTTATTTATTTGGTGTTTTAAATTCTGTTATTAAAATTAAACAAATGTTGATTGACTTTTTTTTAACCTACTAATAATGTAACAGTTGAAGTTATGCTTAAATTAAACTTCTTAAGTTAAGTTTTAGGCATTAACTCTAGGTCTTGAATTTTGTTGAGTTGATTGAATAATATTTAATTTTAAGATGTTTGTTTGTGAAATAAATTGCTGTCCAGCTGTTAATATCTGATAGAAAATTCCATCCTTCTTTTGTCTAATTCTAATTGCTAATCTGATGAATCTAATGCTAATCCTAATGTTTAAGTCACTTGAAAAAGAAAATATTTTTATGTAATATTAGTTGCAAGTTTTGATATTTCAAAAAGTTTTAAACATGTATATATATATATATATATATGTATATATATATGTGTATATATATATGTGTATATATATATATATATGTATGCATATATAAAATATATAAATGGTGGCCTTCAAGTTGCCCTTTTTATGTTAATTCTATTTTTTTTCTGCTTGATCTAACTGGTTGATAGTTCTTTTGTTCTCTTGTGATTTATGACAAACATCTCCTTCCATTATTTTCTTCTTCTTACCTATGTAACTTAAAGCATTCAAGAGAGGTGTTGTTCTAGAACATCTGGTGTTGATTCTTTTGCTCAATGAGGCAGAATCAATTTGTGCTCTTGTATTTTGTTCTGCACCATCATTTTGGTGACTTAATGTGCCTGTAAGTTTAGGTCTCAGAAAATTGTAAACCAAGTATTTATGTAACAAAATTTTAATGGCTTGTTTTCAGTAGTCAGTTTTTTTATTTTTAATTAATTTGACAACCCATAATGATAGAAGTTAGGTAAATGCAGCTTTGCCTGTGTGCATGTTTGTGGGAGGAGTGTTTCAAGCAAATGTGAGCTTTTGATGCATGGCTATGACTGGTGGATTAGTGGGGGAAATAAGAAATGACTGAATGGATGAAAAAATTTTTCTATTTGATTATGTTTTTTTAGATGAAAATTGTATATTTTCTGAAAGTGGTTAGTGATGTAAACAATTAAAAAGGCTATTTTATTGGTATTTCACTTGGACTTGTGCTGATTTATTAACATCATAGCATGTTTGTATTAATGCTTCACCACAGATTTTATAAGTTCATAAGAGGACGTTTTCGGGTAAAAATTTTTAATCAAAATTTATATTTTTTTTTTAACTATGTACAAATAAATTTATTTCTGTGTGCGCGCGCGTGTGTGTGTCTGTCTGTTTGTGTACCATTTTCTAGAAAGAATTGTGTGATAAAAATTACTGAGCATGTGCATTTTAAGTTAGTTTGCAAATGTATATCAACATTAGTTATGTTGTTTATGATGTTGATGATACTGCATGCATAGTTCAGTTGACTCATGTAGTGAGCACAAACAATGTTTTCAGATAAATGTGTTCTTTATTAACTTTACTCTATGCCTTAGTGAAGAATGCCTGTTTTGTGCTTATTAGGTTTCATTTTATCACCATCTGCCTTCATCATCATCAGCTTCATCATCATCATCACTGTGGTGTCATCTTCATCATTGTAATCACAATTTTTCAACTCACTTGTTAATAAATCCACTGCATCTTCAAGGTTGTCATCATTGTATATCTTTATTATTTAGTCATTTTTTTATCATCTCATGTTGTGATCTCAAGATCATCATCACCATCTTACTGGTTATAGTCATCTCATGTTGATGATCACAGTTTCATAATCACATTTGATGTTACAAACTTTTTTTACTATGGAATTAACCTTGGATGTTTCTTTTGTTTCTTTTTATTCGTTGTGTTTTTTTTGTGTTTTATGCTTATTTAGAACATTCATATTGTTCAAATGAGTTTAGTAATTTAGACAGCTCATGAAGATTGACATTTACTAGGGCAGTTGTTGTTTCAAATAATATTCTACATCCTCACAATTATAGGTAGGAGATTGTTATAGATTGGAGATTGGCGTTTTGTTTTTTCCTTGTACAATGATACCATCGTATTAAATTTCAAGGGCTTATGTTCTAGAACTGTGTTATTGTTTACCACAGATGTCAAGTAATTTCATTAAGTTTACAGGTCCATGTTTGATTTGCTCAAGGTATGTGAACCTAATGTCAAAAGAGAAAGTTCAGACACAGTAATTGTTGGTGTTTGGGCAAGGAGTACGGTGTGCTAGCTATGTCTCTTACCCATCAGCATTTTTATATTTTCATACATGAAATTTATTTTGAGCGGAATATTGTGATAGTTCAGATGGCTAAATTGCGCCTACAACAAGTCACATGTTTAATAATAATAATGTTATTAATGATTGAATGGTAATTAAATTCTTTCATTGTGTTGAGGCTTCTGTAAAGGTTAACGCAAAATTCTTAATGATTGTTTTTATTTTAAGGTCAGAAGAATTACATTTGTGAGATTATTTTGATGAGCATTGAGAGCAGTGTATAAATAAAAGTTGTTGAAGTTGTCATGATGACCACGATGATGACCACGATGACCAACAGTGAGGATTTTGTTTCAAGTACCAGTGACAGCATGTCTCACGAAGGTTTTTATCTTTTTGGTCGTATTTATAAAAAATTTTATTATTTCTTCTTTTAACTTTGTTTTTGCCTGTCAAAAGTTGTTTGTGATGGAGATTAAATGATTATAAAGTTGTTAATACATGTTTTTTTACCCTATTAGCTCATAACAATCAATTGCTGTTTCAAAACAGACCGATAATGCTGATATTAATCTTTTCTGGACTTCTCAACTGTTTTCAAACTGATAGTGACTGATCTGCACATAATCATCCACTCACTTATAAAAGGCTTTTATAATTAAGCAGATGATTAGGTACCGATGTGATGTGTCCCAATCAATTTGAATCCATTATATAAATCAAGATAATAACAATAATAATAATGAATAGTGGTTAGAGAGCTTAATGCTTACAGGGGTTAGGTTACAAAGAGACCTCCCCGTGTTTGACTGCTGGGTGTGCTGGTTGGTTGTATGTGTGATTTTCTTCACATATTCACACAAGCTGTGTCGGTTTGCTGTTGATATCTACATAGCAAGTTCATTTGGAGAATGACCTTAACCTTTTAATAATAATAATGAAATTATAATAATAATATTAATAATGATAGGAAGTAATAAAAATTGAAAGATAATAGAAATGTTGTTGTTGTAGTTGATAAGAATCATAATCAGATGCTGAATAATGTTATTTGAACTATCCTACATAACATACACTTAACCATGACTGTTTGTTACCTGGTAGCATGTGTGGTAGGTCTCAAATTAGATGAAATCAAGGAACACTTCAGCATAATCATCATCATCAATATTATGCACTAACACAAGAACAGCCTGGATGATTTTATCTGTGTTGAGAGTTGGGTGTTGAATTTAAGATACTGCTATTGCTATTAAATAAACAATACTGTGACTTCAATAACAAGCCAACTTCTTATTCAAACAATAAAATCATTTGCCAGAATAAGCATAACAGAGAGTTTTCAAACAAGTTTAATAATCTGTTTAAATAAGTTAATTATGAATTGTTTTTGGAGGCATTTTTGTCCACTACAACAGAGGTTCAGACCAAATGTGGAAATATTATTGGCACTTTTATTCTTTTATTGATGGTATTATAAAATTGGGCTATTAGAATGGATGTGTTGATTTGTTGCGTTTAATGAGTTCATGCATTGTTTGCAACAAATTCCATAATCCTAACAACATCATAATGCGTTATTTCAAAGACAACTCCTCCGAAGAAGGGGCAGACCAAAAACAGACCATGTTGACGGCTTCAAAAGTATCACCAGCTTCAAAAGTATCACCAGCTTCAAAAGTATCACCAGCTCATAAGAAAACAACAGTAAAATCTACTCAAGTTAAACAATTATTACCGTCACCACCCCAGTCTGCTGATGGTGGGGATGATGATGATAGTGACGATGGTAATGATAATGATGAAACTGAAAACGCATTATCAACAGAACAGCTGGTAACATCAAGCAGCTTGAACGAAGGTTAAAAAATTTATCCATCATTTTCGCCATTTTTTCTTGTTGTTTTCAAAATGAGTTAATCCCTTTAAAAAGGAAGTTGTTTATCTGGCTACTTCAAGTTATCTTTTCTAATTGGGCTGACTTATTTATTTCTGAAATTTTTAGTTCACATCTTCAAATTTTCCATTTTTGAAGTCTATTAAAGATAATTTGGATTAATAACTAGATAATTAGATTAATAATTAGATAATTTGGATTAATAACTAGATATATAAAATAATTGGATTTGGAATAACTTAGATTTCATTTATAATTATCAGTGAAAGCTGTAGCCTCAGTTATTATGTTACAGCATGGCAATTAAAGCTCATTGACTGTGTTGTGTTAATTGCCTGTAATTTTTACTATATTTGCCTGTTGTAACATTTATGTAATAGTCACCAGTTGTTTGTGTGATATACACACACACAAACTGTAAATTACAACGTAAGTACCTGCAGCAATTATATGTGTGTGTTGGTGGTGGTGTGTATAATTAGTTGTGGTGGAAATTATGAGGCAGATGGAGCAAATTTGTAACAAAGGAGAATTATCCCTTCACATCATAATGATGTTCTTCTATGTTTATCATGTTTTGTCCTCTGGTTGTTTTTATTTGTCTCCTTTGTCGCATTGTTAGCATCCCTACTGATGTTTTTGCCACTTTTTAAATGTTCCTATTGCGATGTTTGTTAGCATTTTTCTTTCTTTTTTTTATGTTTTGGTGTTATTTGTTGAGGGTGAGTGAGTTGGTCTAATGCATTTGTTAATTTTAACATATTCGTAAGAATATATATTTTATAAATTATTTTGTTGAAGTGAAACTAATAATTTGTATAAATATAATAAACTTATAATTGTATAAATATAATAAAGTCAAATCATTTTATTTGTATGAACATATCTAAGCACACAAACATCAAGGCATTTTGTGGTTGTTTTCAATGTTGGTTTTTATTCATCAGTTTCATTATGTTTTTTCAATTACCTTTGCTTTGTTTGATTAGATATGTTATTATTATTTCAACTAAAAATATTAACATTATCATATGCACTGAAGCTTCATGTATATTTTGTATGTCTTTGGTACAAGTTGTTTTGTTTCATATTGTCTTTTCATCACACAACATCTCTTGCTGATACAACAAATATGCCACCATTCCGCTAAACGGATGAGTTGCCATGTTCTGCGTACATTATTCAACAACTTGCACTTTACCATCTACGTGCCAATGTTGTTGCAAATTGAAATGGTGGCTGTTGTTCTAAATTAAAAACTACTGCAGAGATCAATTTTTTTGCACTCCCTGCACAAACACATAGGCCAGTGTAAACACGTACAGACAGACTCACAGATGCATAATTGAGTGGTGTGTTGACACATCAGTGTTAAAGTGCAAATGTACCCTGGCAGAACAGATGAAAGAAGTCCTGGACTTGAAGATAAGGTGTCACAGCTTTGTATTGCATGCATCCTTGATACACATGCAGCCATTGTATATTTATTTCATAGCTTACTCCTTCCTGAAAACTACTGGTTGTAATGTGTTTGTGTTTAGTCACTTCTCACATTTTGCGATGAAATTATTATTATTATTATTGTTGTTGGTGTTATTATTATTATTAAGCATTTATTTAGCGCCTTTTAAAATGTGTGAAATAATGTCACTTTATCATTATCATCACTCTTGTCTGGTCACATGATCAAGAGTTACAATTACAAAGACATACACATAATTGAATCATTTCAATTTAAGGCAATTCTTTAAAATACATCTTTATTTAATACAACAGCTATTAAATTATAAAAGGTGATTCTTTCTCTAAACCGCCTGCCATGATATATATGGTTGTGTGAATATCCGGATCTGGATCTGGTCTATATAAAATACCTGCTGTGTCGGTGTTGCTTTGTTGTGCTGCATGATTCTGTGCAATGGAGGACTGTGGCTGTTATAATGTTGGTTTGTTAGGTTGCGTTATCTTATGTTGTGTTGTGTTGTGTTGTGTGTGTTGTGTTACGTTACGTTATGTTGTTTTACGTTGTGTTGTGTGTGTTGTGTTACGTTATGTTGTGTTGTTTTAAGTTGTGTCGTGTTGTGTTGTGCTCTCTGCATTATATTCACGCTTCCTGCTTGGAAAATTGCTGCATTGTTTTTGACCATCTGTATGAAACATCTGTGTGGTTGGTAGTAAGTGATTGTTAGTTGGTGTGGTTCATTAAGATTGTTGTTGTTGTTGTTGGTGGTGGTGATGGTGGTGGAGGTGGTGGTGGTGGTGGTGGTGGTGGTGGTGGTGGTGGTGGTGATGATGATATTGGTGGGGGCGTTGGTGTAGATGGTTGTGTTTAGCGTTTTTACAATAACCAAGATGATGACCGTAACCTTTATTTCATGCTTAAAAAGTTTTTATATTCCTTTTTCACATTTTCCTCATTAGTTGTCAAATTTTGCATTCGTTTATTATTCGTTTGAGGACATTCAAGTAATTAGTCTGTAAATACTGAAAGAAATTTTGTTTTAAACACTCTCAATACATGAGGTAGATAGGCAAATGAATAAAAACTGAAATAAATCTTTCTTTCAGCCAAGCAGTAAATGAGTGAGTGAGTGAAGTGAATGAGTGAATGAATGATTAAACAACTTGGCCAGTTCTCTGCATCAGATAGACAGATGTCCAATTAAATTACTGTTGAAGACTTGTTATTAAGCTACCAGCCATTTTGTCTGATCACTTGTGTTCTCCTGCTTGCTTGCCTGTCTGTCTGTATCTCAGTCTGTTTGCATCTATTGAATCATGCCACTAGTGTTTCATATATTTGATGTCATAATGCATGTTCAGTCATAATTAAAGTTATTCCTAAACTATTTGATTTTTGTCTAATAAATCTTAATTTGCATGAATTAAACAGTTTTTATAAGCGTGAAATGATTTCTAACTTGGTCATTATTTAGGATTTAATTCTTCAAAAATAATGATTCATTTCTCACTTATGAGTTCCAAGTTTTAATAGCCTGTGTCGACTACCTTAAAGCCAGATTGAATACAGAGGCTTTAAAAATAATTTCACCGTTTTTTAAACATTCTGCTGCTCATATGATTAGTTTATTTTGTATGTCACCGAATTTGTTCGTCATTTTTTCTCTTTATTATCACTCTAAACATCATAATTGTTAGTTATAATAATTATTTCTATTAAATTAATATCATTAATATTTTATATTATTTTTTAAAACAATACTTTGTTTTAAGATTAGATTAACCTGTAAATCTAGAAATCTGGCCAATAAACGTCCCATTATGAAATTAAATGATGCTACAGTTGTTATATACATTGATTTAGAATTATTTATAATGGCTGGCTGTCTAGTAGCGGTGTACAATTCGGTGCTTTTCTGTAGTGGAATGTTTCGGTTACTTTTCAAAAAGTGTAATTAGGTTCTTTTCTTTTTTTTGATTTCATTTATTCATAACTAAATATTTGGTAACTTTTTTGTTTCTGAAAAACTTGACACCTTTTATGCTGGTGGTGCAACTCTGCCCAATTCTTTCTTTTGAACCTACGAATTTTGTTTGCGTGTGAAATAACTTCTCCTATTGACGAATTTCTTGGAATATTCGGAATCAAAAAATTACTCAGAACAAAATTGAAAACTTATCCAAACTGGTACTTTTTTTAAAACAGTTTCGTGAGTACCGAATATTTTTGTTCCCAAGCAAAAGTGTTCAATGAATAAGCCTACTACTCATCCCACAACAGACTTTGCTGTATGGTACTCAGGGAATCTACTTGAAATATTCTTTTTTTACCAGTTCGCTAGTTACTGACATTTCATTGTTTTTAACTCTTCACATTGATATATTGTGCATATAATGTAGGTATCACATCATGTTCGTGACAGATTTGTTTCCATTTACCCACCAGCTGCTTATTTCACCTCTTCTTTCATCTTCTACTATTTATTTTTTATGGACATTGTTTGCCACCACGGTCATGTTATATAGATCACGGCAGATGCTCGTTCACTTTATTAAGCTATGATTCCTTTTCCTTTGTTGAGGTGTTGAAATTTTTTGTATCATATTTTATGGCACTTTATTAGTCATTATGACCGCCATCTTCAGTTGTTTTCATCGTTATCATTGTAACTGTTTTTTTGGTCATCATCATTAATGTTGTCATTATTATTATCGTCGTTATTATTATTATTTTCGTTATGGTGGTTTTTTTTTACAGAAATTTTGATTATCTTTTATTGAGCATTTTAATTTGTTTAAACTTTAAATGGCCCCAGCTCGCATGTTGATGTTTATAAGTTTGTAAGTGGATACACTGGATGCAAGTTCGCAAGCACGTCGTGTCATCTTAGTTTCATTTCATCAGATGTCCCATGCACAGTCTACGCACTGCCATCATCATCTCCAATATCAGCATCATCATCACCGTTTCTGGTTTGGCTCTTTTATATTGATCACACATCGCTTGGTAGCTGCAACAACAATGTTTGGCTGGATGCTCCATCCATTGTGCGTGCGTGTGTGTGTGTGTTGCGTGTGTGTGTGTAAGTGTACGCACGCGAACAGAATGTTATTATCGGTCTGTACCAGCTTGTGCACTCCTATGCAAATGTCCTGTCCCGTTATGTTTATTGTGCTTCTGCAGGATGTTGCGTGCACACATTCGTTCTTTTCTTACAAGTTGACTCTTCTTGGTGTTTTGTAGTTTTTTGTTTTTGTTTTCATAATATTTGATAATGTTGATTTAACATACATTTTTTTTATTTTTCTGTATTTCGTTTATCTTTTTTTAGACCGTGTTTTTGTTTTAATACAGTTTTAATAATGGTCAATGGGTTTGAATGGTGTGAATGACATGTGTCTGTAGTTAATATTTCGGCCGTGACAATGTCTACGCCGTTATTATTTAAATGTTTAAACTGATGAACTTGAACCACAATCAGCTACATTTATACTGCTGTTACAAATACTACAAACATCCTTATCAACTTAATTACACTGAACAGATCAAACGGTTGAAACCACCTAACAGCTGCCCAAAGCAAAATGAATTGATTAAATTAACATCTGTGATTTTATGACGCGATGATGATTATACTGATATTACTTTTTATGATGGCAACGTTGTTTGAGCTTCACTGGTCCTAGTACGATTGGCGGGCAGATTCGCGTATTGCTCTTTCCAGTTTCTTCCTAAGCTCAGCAGTCAGAAATCTACCTGACGGACAAATCACACTTTTAAAAATGTTCTAGAACCGGAGAAAAATTATTATAATTTTACCTTTTAGTGCTTCATGCGTGTCAGTCATGCTTGTTATGCAGTTGCATGTTTCCTGTGAAGAAAATGTGTTTGTTTGTCTGTGGAGATGTAGGAAGCCATCTCGGCAATGTACACATGACGAGATTTCATACTATGTGCAAACAATCATGTCCAGACTATCTGAATGCTTGCCAATAGATGTTTTTCAGTTGTGAAAATGTTATCTTATCTTAGGTTTACTTTGTTTAAACTTCCATATAATAAATCTAATAAACTATTTCACAAAATATGCAACTTAAACAGCACACAAAAACAAACAAGCATACATACACATGGACAATTGAACATGCATGTTGGATTTGTATATGCAATTTTTTAACGTGTTTCACTTCATGTCTTCAAATTACTGAAGCAGCTAGAAATAAATTCACTTGTTTGTATCATTCCTTACTGTAGCTTTCAGCTAATTTAATCAGTTTTTCAAAATGAATGAATGTTTTGAGGCTTAGAAATTCATTGATATTTGATTCTTTTGAGCCTTTTCTTGTTAATTTTTTTTTCTATTGTATTAAGTAAGATTTTATTATTATTTATTATTATGTAAATGTTTTAGCATAATATTTCGTTCATTGTTTTTATTAAACAATATTAGATGATTTATTGGACATATTTTAAAATGTACAATGACCATCAGATGGCAGGAGGAGGAAAAGGACAGCATCAAGTGCCTTCAACAGCAGACACATCATCAAGAACAGTTACGATGACGATGATGACACTGACAACTATGAACGTAACACTAACTGTGATGGGAATGAGCTACTGAGAGGAGGTGCATCAACTTCACAAAATCTTCCCCTTCCTACTGCCGACGTAATAAATACTGTGGCCGTTAATAACTACACCACAAACAACAACGGTTTCTCAATTTGTGCTGATACCAAACCTGTTTCAACCGCTAACTCCAAAGAAGTCTTCAACAAACTTAATCACAAGAAACATTCGCCAAGCAGCAATAAATGTTCAAATCAGGTTCTTACTGGGAAGACTGGAGATGATGATGAATGTGACAACGATGATGAAGATTGTGATGAAGCTATGGACTCATCACTGCATGATGATGTTGACAAAACTCTTGGAGAATCCGTCAAGGAAAGTGAATATGGTGATGTAAGGGGTAGGGAGGGCACAGCTGTTGTTATGGGAGCACAGCAACCTATAACTCTGGTAGACTCAGCTCTGAGAACATTCAAAATAATTAAAATCCAACATTTGCCACCAGCTGTAATTTCGACAATTGCATCAACATCACCAGACCAACAAGTGCAAATGAACATCAATTCATCTTCCACATCCATTCCATCTGATAAACCGACGTGTTCCAAATGTGCAAAATCGTTTGCCAATGTTTACAGATTGCAGAGGCACATGAAATGGTAAGTTTTTAATTAATGCTGAACTTTCTTACATGAATAGAGCTTCTTAAGTATTTCTTATGTCTAATTTATAGTTAAAACTACTACCGAGTTGAAATTTTAAGGAAATGCTTTTAATAATTTAACTAATCAATTTGTTTATTGAATTAAATAGTTTATATTACAATTGTTTTTTATTGAAATCTTTACTACAACAAGAGTTGATTTTTAATGAAATCGTTCACTCACTTTGTTGACAGTCATGAAGAGACGACAGAAACCCGCAAGTTCCGATGTTGTGAATGCAGGAAGGCCTTCAAATTCAAGCACCACCTGAAGGAGCATGCACGCATTCATTCTGGAGAAAAACCTTTCGTGTGTGCCAACTGCGGCAAGAGTTTCAGTCACTCTGGCTCCTACAGCAGCCACACGACTTCCAAAAAATGTTGGCGCATGCATAGACATAAGTATATGCATAGTGTACTGGCGGCAGGCAGGGTTAACAATGCCGTTAATATCAATACCCTTTTCCCATTTCAAAAAATTTTTGATGTGCAAGGTGGTGTCAAGATTATCAATAAAAGCCACATTCCTCTTGTAAATAACTCGAACGGCGCAAATATAGCAGGAGTTAACAAACCGGCACTATTAAGCAAATCATCTGCTATACCAAAGTTTGTGAAAATTTCCAAGCCATCACCAACATTCTTAATCACAGCACCAGTCATTCTACCACAGCTTGCTGCTAACATTCCTCTCACTCTGCTCAATGGTGGTACCAACAGTACAAAGAATAGCAGAATTTGTCCAAATAAAATTGTCGGTGCTGATGCTGTTGGCATGAAATTGGAAGGCACCAATGATTCCAACAATGTTACAAAAAATAAATTCATTGAGGCTGTTATGGATAGTTTGAACATTTCAATCAAAAAAAATGTTCCAGAAGTAAAAATTGAAATAAATAATAATAATAATATAATAACTAATATAAGTAACAATGATATTATTAATGACAATGGTGAAAATGCAGAGGCCAATAAACTCTTGAACATGTCGCAAGTCATGAAGACAGCTTCTATGAAAGCAGTACCGTCGACGAAAGACTCGCCATCACACGACAGCAGAAGTTTGAATATATTGGCTGCAGCAGCTGAGCAGTTGAGAAAAGAAGAAGAAATGAAAACAAAGCTGCCCCAGTGCAGAACCAAACAATCTGCCAACCAAGAGCAGGATAAAGAAGACGTATACCACAATCCACGAATCAGATCACTGATAACGTCAGAACACAGGCAAACGTTAAAACAATTTTACGAAAAAAATTCCCATCCAACTAAGGAAGATTTAGAGGAGTTGATAAAAAAGATGCCTTTTCCAAAGAGAGTTTTGCAGGTCTGGTTTCAAAACATGAGGGCTCGAGATCGCAGAAGGGCCAGAATTTTTATGGGGCGCCAGACTGAAATGTGCATTCTTGATAGGGAACATGTCGGTTCAATCGAAAGTTATAATGATGATGAAGAGCGCCAAAATAAACTTTCCAATCAGTCCAGTGTTCTCAGAGAGAATAATTTTGAAGATAAATCTGATCAGAACACTGATGTTTTAGAGAACAAAAATTCTTCTCTTCATCATGCCAGGGACAAGGAACTCTGTGATAACCAGCCAGAAAAGGAGTCTCAACAACAAGTTGACGAGCCTTTGGATTTAACAATTTGTTCAAATCATTCTTCTGATCTTAACCATGTTAATAAAAATAGCACCATTGATAAAACCATTGACGTTGATAATTGTTTGAAAAGAATGGACAATGTTGAACAGTCTGAATGCGGTGATGTCGTTTTGAACCTGTCAATCAAAACCCGCCAGGACCCTGAGGATCAGATGACCACTGAATCAAAACCAGCAACAATTCAATCACTTTCACCCACGTGTTCCTTACAGTCATCATCATCACCAATCTCTTCCTTATCATCGCCATCTTCTTTGCTCATTAAATTGAAAAATAATAACAGCAAAGCTCTGAATGATGTTATTTTTAAAAAGGATGTTGCCACAATAAAGATTGTAAGTTCAGTTCAATTCAATTCAGTTCTTTTCATTTTTTCGTTATTCTAATCTAACCAGATTTATTCTAAGGTCTGCGTTTATCCTATTTTTGACAATTTATGTAAAGCACATTTTTACATTTATTTATTAATTATATATATATATATTTATTTATATATATATACATATATATATGTAATATGTATGTATATATATGTAATACAATTATATACAGTTCTGCTTACAACAAGCTGCTTACAAGTTTTTCATACTTAGTTGTATCACGCATGCTCTTCACACCGCAATCGCAAACACTTTACTCATTTGTTACATGTTCAAACAGACCGACTTGCAGGCACCAGCAACATCAGCAAACAATTCAGTGAGCAGTAACTGTGATGTTAGTTCAAAAATCAACAGCAATAACAGCAATGATGTCATCAACAATGGTAACAGCAACGCCAGTGATAACATCACGGAACATAATGGCATCAGCAGCATCAACAATGACGTCAACAGTAAAAGTAACACCAGCATCGTCGACATCAAAACAGATAGTAATCAGTCTGGTATAGTAAACAAGAAGCGCGTGCAAAACATCAGTAAGATGTGTCAGGTACTGTTCCAGTGCGACCAGTGCGATAAGGTGTTCAACAAACAAAGCTCTCTAACGAGGCACAAATACGAACATTCGGGTTCGATATGTTTGCTTTTTAGGCTGATTACCTGTAGTTGTAATTTAAAGTAATTTGCCCGTATATTGCCCTCTGATGTGCGTATAATTACGATAGTTTTATGTTGATGTCATGCAGTGGTATGCTGGTGTCATATAGGGGTGTGTTGATGTTAAGCGGTTGTATTTTGATGTCATATATTGTACGTTGATGTCATGTAGTTGTATGTTGGTGTCATATATTAATAGTTATTGTTTAATCCTTTTTTTTTATTATGCATTCGTATAATGGTGCCTAACTATTCCTGCTCGGTAAATTATTGTTATGATTGCAAACTGGTAAATTTGTAGTACTTTCCTAACAACATGTTGTCACTTCACATCAGTCAAAGAGCACAGTGAACTGGCGTCCTGCCTTTTATGTCATTGTTGAGATATTGTTTGAAATAATGACTTACGAAAATATCACTCAATGATTACCACCTATTGTATTATTTTCATTTAATAACATTCAATCTTTTGAGTTATCAAAAAAGACCTTAGCTCAAATGACCTTCAACTAAATGACCACTAGGGAAGAGACCATTCGGCTGCGACAAATGTGAGAAGGCCTTCAAGCACAAGCACCACCTGACCGAACATCTGCGTCTGCACAGCGGGGAACGTCCGTTCGTGTGCCACCAGTGCAACAAATCCTTCAGTCACTCAGGCTCCTACAGCCAACACGTCAACAACCAGCTGAAGTACTGCAGAGGGAATGCTGCTGCCTCCCACAAGTCCAACCATCATCTCCTCATTGGCAAATTCCACTGCAAAGCTTTCAACAATCTGCCCACTCAACAGAATTAATCTCTTCTGATGGCCCTACAACATAACACTTTATTGTTCACTTTATTTATATGTAACTCTAATGTTTATTTTATTAAAATTTTTGGAATTCGAAATAAATATTCTTTTTTCTATTTCAAAACTTATTAAGATATTGTGTGTGGATGTGTATATATGCGTGTTTGCGTGCGTATTCGAACGCGGTGAAGTTTTGTTATAACTAGAAGAACGTTATGACGACAGTACTTTATTATGACATGACTCTAGTCTTATTTTCGAATATATCACAATTTGTCACCTTTTATCGTTGCCATCATTTCACGGACGATGTGTTTCAGGTACTCTGTTATAAGAAATTTGAGAGTGAATGTTTTTGACTACTGAAAGTTAGCAGTATTATTTTCTTCATTTTTAAGTTTTTCATTTAAAGTGTTTCAATAGTTATAATTGTGAAAAAGTTAATGTTTTAATTATATTAATTATACGCAATTCCTAAGTTTATCAATGACCTTATTATTATTTTTTTCCAAGTGTGCTATAATTTGTGGTTGATATTACATGCTTTTGTTTGAGTTTTTATTGCACGATGAAACAGTTCAGTATTATGAATATTTACGGTATGCATTTATATTTATATTATTTTATATTCAAACACCACTTTATTTAGATGGTATTAACTATTTTGTGCAATTTTTCACTTTATTTTGCCTTGTAATCAAACTTTTGCTTGTTCATAACCAACTAACTTTTATCTTTTAATTTAATTAAATTGCGTTTTTAAATTAATTTATTTCAATTAATTTTGTGTGCTCTAAATTAGTTTTTCAGGCTTAATTTGATGAATTTAATTTATTAATTTCTACATTTAGCGTTACAGATATTTTTATTGTTCAGTTACTTACGACTTAATCATTATGCATTCGTTCAGCAATTTCCACGTCTAACTTACGCGCGTTTCCATTAATAACCTAATCTTTACCAAACAGTATTATGAAAATTTGTGTATATATACATACAAACATATTTCGTTTTTTATATTTTTGTATAGATCTTTCTAATAAGGCAGTTTGTTTTATAATCAAAAATTTCAAAATACGGTCAAACCTTACAGTAATTAAAGTTTTAGAATTGTTTCACTAGCTCGGCGTGTAAATACAATATTTGTTTTTCTTCATTATTTTGCATGACACCATAATCAAATGTCTTCCGAAATGTACATAAAATTTTAATGCATTTAGCAAGTTTTTTTCATTTCGCAAGGTTGTTGCGACTACCATTGTTTTTGCGATGTTATTTTTTTTAAAGATTCTTAATTGATTTTATTGACTTGTAATATTTAATAAAAGTGTGACTTGCAAAAGCCTAAAAATAACGTACATTTTGTGTTAAAAGGGTAGGTTGGAAACTTTGAAAGGTGAATTGAAAGGTGTTGCTACATATGACAATTCTTATATAGACTGTTGCATATATAACAGCATTTTTGTAACGTGGATGACATGGAGAGAATTAAAAAATGATTTAATACTTCTGATTCTAGGTCTGAAGAATATATGTCTATGATTCTAAGATTCTATGTCTGAATATATGGGTCTTGCTTCATCCATGGAAGAAGTTTAGTCACCTACTATATACAATCGTACGCCTTGTATATATTTTATTCTATATCATATATATATATATATATAGAGAGAGAGAGAGAGAAAGATAATACAATTTATTTAATATTTATAATATTGTTATAACCGCTGCGCTGGAATGGTGGAATTACGCTGTATAATTAATTATTGTTATCTTGTTATATTTGTATTTTCGATATTTGTCACTGATTGTAAACCATAGAATCTTTTCATACAATAGAGGATTGTAAAAATCTACCGTAGAGGGTATATAAAGGGGCAGGAGTAGGGAAGTCAATAGCGAGATTTGAAGCCAAGCCGTAAATGTGATTTATGTAGTTACTTGGATTAGTTTAGTGTTTCTATTACTGTTGGCATTCGAATGAACATTCAACAAAGTTTGCGTTTGAAGCAGTTGTGTTCATCTATCGAAAATCTTGAACCTACGGAATAAGGATAACGTTGGTGTTGGTAGTAACGAGTGTTTAAGTGTTACAACATTGGTGTCAGAAGTGGGATTTTTTATTGTTTAAAACTTCCTGCAAGAAAGAATGCCAGCGTTAGAAGAACTCGATACGAAGAATCTGAGAAAGAAACTACGAAAACGTAACCTTGAATCGAAGGCAGTTTTGACGAACAGCCTAAAGGACGCTCTGGTAATTGAAGGTAACGAACTAGATGACTTTGACTTTCCGGATTTTATGGAAAAACCGAAACAGCAGTATACCAAATTAAAAGCCGATTGTAATAGAAGATTTGATCAACAGGCAGAAAAACTAAACGAGATTGACCGGGAACTTAACGATAAGATCGACCAGCAATCAAAAGATATCAGAACTAAACGACAGATTTGACGGAATAAACAGTAAGTTAGAACAGCAAACAAGAGTCTTCAAAGCAGAATTAAATGTACATATTTATAAAATGGACCAGAAAACGGACGAAATAAACGACCGAGTCGACGAACTAGAAACGAAGCACCAGCGGGCAATAGAGGAAATTACCAGGGAAATAGAAACAAAAGAAAAAAGCACCATACACGAGTATGCCTCCGCCAAGTCAATAAAAGCCCAAACATTCAACGGTGCCCCACCCTGGGAGTTTTCAGACTCAGTTTGAATCAGCAGCACTAAGCTATGGGTGAAGTGCATTGGTGTTAGCACTAAGGGGCTCCGTTTTGGAAGTATTACAATCTATTCCTGCCAAGAACCGTGACAACTTCAAGATTCTAACTGACGCGTTAGACTGACCCTATGGAAACAAATATACTACTTAACACAGCTCGACCACCGTATGCAGAAACCAGGGGAAACTGCTCAACAACTAACACATTACATATAGAGACTTACCCTGTTAGCGCAACCAACAGGTACCCCGGAATTCAGAGACAGAACGGCAACAAAAGCATTTATTCAAGCCCTACGTGACCCAGATATTAAATATGATCTCACAATATCAAAAATAAAAACACTTGAGAAATTTGGGAGCAGTATATGACACTGGAATCAGCAAAGCTGATGTTGAAGAAAGACACAAGAATACGCTAATCCACGAAGAGAATGAGTGTCGAAGGATTGTCTCAACAACAGAAGACTACAAACCACCAGAATACTGGAACTGTGGAAAAAGGGCATATTATTATTATTATTACCGGGGTTTAAAGTGGTTCAGAAGACTATGGTCTGTGTAAGAACCACTACTAATTAGATCTCCTAATATCCTATCTGTCCGAGTTTGGCTTTGAAGCTGTTGAGTGAATTCGCAAAGACTGCATCATCGCTTAGCTCGTTCTAGGCATTGACCACTCTACTGCTGAAGAATCTGCTCTTTATTTTTCCATCCGAGTTTTTGAAAATCTTAAATCTGTGTCCTCGTAGTTTATCACTGTTTACTAGCCTGAAAAATCTCGAGTATGGAGTTGTTTCCCTATTCGTGATCAGTTTATATGTTTGGATTAGATCTCCTCTACATCTTCTTTTTTCCAATGATGTCAAATCGCATTTTTTCAATCTCTCATCGTATTCCATTTTTCTGATTCCTCTAATCATTCTTGTGGCTCTACGCTGTACTTTTTCCAAAACTTCCTTATCTTTCTGCATATATGGGCTCCATGCTTGAACACAGTACTCCAGAAAGTTATGTAAGAGGCTCCAGAGAAGTAACGCCTGTCGAAGGAACGATACGGGAGAAACCGACTTTCGAAGAGAGCTAGCCTCATATTTGAACCGTCTGCAGCTAGCACGTCGGAAAACTAGTGATAGCCAACTTAGCTAGGTAAACAAACGCCAATGCATTATCACGTTGGCCATGCCCGCCGAACTTCAAGTACTGATGTTAAGCGGAAGAGAAAGAACAATCGGAAGATGTAAGAGCAATTTCCTTGTCATTGGACAGGGGATGGGCACCCGAAGAACTGGCTGCCGCACAACTTGCTGATGAGGACTTACAATGCGTCATCAGGTGGAAGGAAGCCGGCGGGAGACCTAGAGTGCAGATATTTTTTCTTTTCTTTTCTTGTTTTACATTCTCAAATTTCTCAGTCTGGTGCAACGTTCCATGTTGCCACAATGAAGTGTATTCAACTTGTCACTATCATGATGTTTTTTGATTCGGTTTGTGTTTGTCGATGGTTTTCTTGGTAAAAGTTCTGGACGGTATGTTGCCATTACTTGTTGTCAACTTTTTCTACTTCTAAATGAGATGAGTCATGACAAATAAAATTAGATAATAATCATTAATTAATAATCTTATATAATTTTATTTCATACCATAGAGGATTGTAAAAATCTGCAGGAGTAGCGAAGTCAATAGCGAGATTTGAAGCAGGGTCGTAAATGTGATTTATGTAGTTAATTGAATCAGTTTAATGTTTCTATAAACAATTCGGATAAACGTTCAACAAAGTTTGCGTTTGAAGCAGTTGTGTTCACCTATCGGAAATCTTGAACCAACGGAATAACGGTAACAACACTGGTATCGGGAACACATAACTAGAATAAAGAGAATATAAAAATTGTTTAAAGTTTATAACATTGGTGTTGGTAGTAAAGTGTTATAAAAAATATAATATAATAATAATAAATAATATAATTCTAAGCATACGAATAAAATACTTATTAATTGCTTATTCTATTAGAAGGCCCATCACTGAAATGAATACCTTGTTGTTGTTGTTGTGCTAATCACACAAGGTGTGTCCTCGATTTTTGAGCTGCATGTTAAAAATGAGATGTCGCCTACCTTTTTAATAAATCATTCTAAATTATTGAAGAGCCGCAAACATTAATAGAGTTATTTCATTTTTAGAAAGTCTATTTATTTATTAATTATTTAATTACATTTTATTTAATTTGTTTATTTATCAAACAAACCGAATACAATATATATAATTTATGATATATAATTATAATACAAGCTACCTACCAATTTATACAAATTAATTGAAACCACATACTACTCTACCAAAAGTTACGAAAAAACTTAATTAAATTACTAAAACTATAGATTCTAAGGCTAATAATAGTATTAAATATAAATTAAATTAATAACAATAACTTTAGTTAGAGAAACTAGGAGGTAAGTTAGTTTTAAACATCTTGGATTAAAAACTAAAAAGATAAAATACAGATCACATGTAAAACTAAAGTAGAAAAATTATCAAAATTTTCAAAAATGGAGGAAATTCCTTTTTTCTCCTCAAGCAGTGATGGTTGGTTTTTTGTATTTTTTTTATTAATAAAGACAAAGTAATATGTAAGTAAACTATAATTATAATTATATGTCAGCTATGTATGTTTGTTTGTACATATAACTGATAACAAAAATAATAATTTTCAACACAACAAACAAATGATATCTATTATACAACTTAAAATTTTCAAATACAATGTTATTTTTGAAATAATTTGCATATACATTATATTATAATTATATGGTTTAAAATTTTGTAATGCACATTTTTGCATGGTGCAAAGTGAATGTTGGTTTAAATTTTGAAATTATGCATTTTTTTAATTTATCCAGTACTTTAACTGTTTAACATATAATAAAGTATGATCATTTATTTGCAAATAAATTTGTAAACCATTTTTTTTGTAAAATTTATGTAGTCTGCTATACTTGATATAATTTTGTTAATAATGTGAATTTGAACATTTATAGATGCTGATCAATCTCAAAACTTCATCAGCTGTGTTAGAGGAACTTTGAGTGAGTAAGCTCTTTATAATGATAATCTCTTGATAACTAAACCAACTCATACAATTTTTTAAACAATTTCTTCCATCAGTTTGGTTCCATCATGACTTATCCATGTAATTATTAACAATAAAAATCAAAGCCAAAAATATTCCAAATAATTTTGTGCAGGCTACACTGCTCAATGAAATAATGCTTTGCCACATATTTCTTCTATTCTTTTTGTATTATTATTTGGTTTTTCAATGATTTCAAGTAAGTTTTGCATTATTTGCAGGAAGAACAGGCTTTTTAAAAATGGAGGATCCTGATGAGGACGAAGATGATGAACTTGATGAAATTATCCAATCTGTCTTCACCGATGGACAAAAGGCCACGTACAAAATATGCAAAGAATCGATATCAAAGAAAGGTCGAGTTTCTCGAGGAGACGTCCGCGGATTGTTTGTGCCTGGTGCAACTTTGTTTCGAAAGCCTGGAATTTCAAATGTTTGTTCTGCTTGTAATAAAACATTTTAAAGTATTTTTATAATTAATGAATGGAAATTATTTTGAATATATTGTTTAAAAAAAAGTTTAATTAATAATTAATTTCGTTAAAATTTCAAGAATTCGGCAGAAAATGTGTGTGACGTTGCTAATGTACCTCCGCCTGATTACGATGATCAGGATAATGATGACGTTGATGGAGGGCCGGAAACGAAGCATGAAAGTGAGTTGCAAACTGATGATTAGTACGTTCAAAGAGAAATAAAATATAGCAAAAAAAATGAGAATATATATTAAATAAGGTTTGCTTTCAAGTCGAAGGCAAATAATCGGGGTAATCTTCGCTGGTACATTTCAACGTTGTTAAGCTTTTCAAGAGTCTTAATGTTGTGCTGAGCAATTGATCGCTTTAGCTTTCCGCACATGCCTTTGAAGCTTAAACCATGATGATGATGATGATGATGATGATGATGATGATGATGATGATGATGATGATGATGATGATGATGATGAGGATTAACCGCGAAATAGATGATCAAGTTCAAATTCTAAAATTATTCTAATATCAAGACAATGGTAGAACAAAGCATTTAATAATTTTTTTTAATCTCGAATAAGATGTTTCTTGGCATCTAAGTTTGATGAATTTCTTTGCAGAAAACATCATTAGACACCCGAATAAAGTCATGTCTAACAGGAACAGTCGACGCGTTAGTTACTTTTTAAGTTTTGCATTTTTTATTGATTATAAAAATTATCGTCAAGTTTAGTTAAAAACCAATGTCTTGAATATGAATGTGGTTCCCATATATCAGAATAGTTCATTTTTTATGTTTGCGTCTGTTCTGTTGACGTTTCAACAGAGAACAAAAAAATGTTCCTTCTTTAAATTCTGAACTTTTTTATATCATACAAAGTACAAAGTCACGTTTGCTGAATAAGATTTTGTACTGCCAGACAGACAGCAGGATAATAGTTCAATTGGTTAGGGTAAAGACCTCTTATATTTCAACAATTGCTCATTTAAATCATGGTACAATCAGTGCTAATAAGGACTAGGTGCTTTTGAGGGCCAGTATTTTTATTCTAAGTATATGGTAATTAGGGATGCACCGGATTCAGGTTTTTCAAATCCGGCCGGGGCCGGACTTGGCCGGATTTAAAATTCAAAAACCGGCCGGAGCCGGGGCCGGATTTTAGTTACCATTTTACATACGTTAGAAAAAATACTCACATTTACGGTTATCTACATGTTGAACATCAAAAAATAACACCAAGCAAATAGTTAATTAATTCAAATATATGAATAAGCTGTGTGATACGCCAAATTCTATACACAAAGATCAGCTTATAAGTTATGCATAACCCATGTTATAGCTCAAAGAAAATTGTCCAGCTCACCTCACAATTAGTGATGTTGTCATGTATGCCTAGCCTAACCTTTAACATACCATGTTCTTAAATTATGGCTTATGTATCTTTATGTATATATATTATGTAGCTATATGATCCGTCATATACAATTATATAGTATAAACACGTGCACAAGTTCTTTTACACAAAGATCAGCTCATAATTTATGCATAACCCATGTTATAGCACAAAGAAAATTGTCCAGCTCATTTCACAATTAGTGATGTTGTTATTATGTGTCATGTATGCTTAGCTTTTAACTTATTGACGTAAAGTTAATTGAATTCAATAAAATTTTTTTTTTCTATTTATAACATTTTTAAATGTCGATAGACGCTTAAATCCGGCCACCAAATCCGGCCGGGGCCGGATTTGATAAAAAAGCTGAATTTTGGCCGGAGCCGGGGCCGGAGCCGAACTTCGGTGCATTCCTAATGGTAATATCAGTTTAGATATAATTCTTTCAGTAATGCTTTCTGTTATACATATTTGTTATTTCAATGTCAAATGTCAGTTTTTGTTTTATTGATGGGAATATTTCTTAACACATCTTAAAGAACATAATTGAACTTATATATTGTTTTGGATGAGGATTCAGTGAATTTGATGATCTGAATAGATGTATGATGGTTGGTGATTGATTTGCAGAAAAGATGATTGTTTGGTCTCGAAGGTTTATTTGTGGTCGATCATTCTTACTACCTTGTTAGTCTTTGTTGATGAACATTTGGAAGATTTTGTTTCCGTTCTCGTGCTCACCTGTTCGTCATACGTCTGAGTTCAATTGGGCTAATAATGCATGGCTACATCTAATCTCTTTTTCTTTTCTGCATACCTGTCGCATTTTTAAATAAATTATTTTTTAAATATTCATGTGATTTTATTGTGTTGAAAGTTTGAGTGGGGCAGCGGTAAAGATGAGATGAAAAAAAGTTTCTACCGGAACTAGCTCTCCAAGCTGTTGCAAATTAACCAAGCTGTGCAAGCTGTGATTAATGAAGTGCAAAAAATCTGCTAAATTTTTAAAGTTGTTAAAAAATGGTTATTTTGAAAATTTGTGTATATATAGTTAGTAATGCTAATCCTCATTAACACCGAAATTTTATAGAGAGGCAGTTAATGTAAGTTTTCGTGCACATGTTTGCTCACAACTTAAGATCAGGAGGGTAACAGTTAAAAAAACTAGTAAAACACACACATCAATTTTGTTTCATGGGTTGAATAATTAATTTAAGTTTCAGATGAGCAGTCCTGACTTATTGAACGTCTTCGAAGCGTTGTTCGACTGCTCTAACATGCAGACTGCCTGCTGTAAGATCCACCACATTGGGAGGAATGACTCCAAGAGAATAAACGTTTTTGCGGAGACTGAAATAAGGACGATATTTAGACAAAATGGCGATCTGAAAATAAACAAAATGCAAACGAAGAGGAAAGAGAAAGGTATGTTTGTATTGCTTTGTTGAACACGATTTATCTTTGATTAAGTTTTTTGAAAATGTTTAATATATGAATGGTAAGTATTATTTTATAATAGTGTGACGTACAAAATTCAATAGACTTAGGTGTGTTTGGTGTCAGTCTTGAAACTCTTCTGACGCGTGATTGCAAAAAAAACCCTCATCTCAAGGTACCTCTCTTCCTACAATCGGTATCTAATATTATTTCTTTCATTTAAAATTGAGATATATGTTAAGTTTTAATACCTTCTTACAAAATTCTCTGTGTAAAATTCAACTCATGCTAGAATATTTGTCATTGATGTGTTCATGCCAAGTGGTGTAGTATAGTCCACAATTTCTAAAATGCGTAGGCCTATGCAGTGTCCTGAGATGAAATCACAAAAATATTTTGACTCCTCCCGTTTTAAAAGCTTTTTATTTGGTTTACATTGCTTTTTAATTTACATAACTTTAGCTAACGGTGAGAAGAATATAATCATTTTCATAAAAACAGCGTAAGGAGTTATAGCTTAAAATCATAATTAAAATGTGGCTTTTGTTGGTGATGACAAAATTAATTTGTCTGTAAAAAAAAGTTCTGTTTGAAAAATAGGCTTCTGTTCATGTCAGCGCACGAGCGTTTCAAAAAATGTTTAATGTGGCATTTTTAAATGGTTATATTGTTAAACTATTCTGGCGTTTGCAATTTTCATCCCTGTATTTTGTATGGTAGACCGTGCCATATGTTTCATGTATATAACATTTGATACCCACTCTGTAAACAGTTTTTATTTTGCTTAATTCGCAGTTGGTTACAAAATTGGAGAATCATTTGGAAGAAGAAGGTATATTAAGAGTGCCTGGATCACTCGCTCGAATCAGGGTACATCAGATGGTGTTGCTTGATTGCTGTGTTTTCATTTAAATTCCAGTTTGTGATTATAAACTAAATTTTTGCCCAAATATTTATTTACATGGATTAAAATTAGATTATTTTTAACAAATCTTTTTTAAAAACAGACGTGTCAGTTTGTGTGGAATGTTGTATGACGACAATATATTTATTTATTATTTGTCATTTTAATAACATTTTTCCTCTTGAACAATTTTATTTTAGGAAGTAGGTCAGCAACTTGAAACGTCTGAAAACTACTCCATCATTCTGCAACCACTCCTCCCTCACGACCTCGTCGGCCTCCTCAAAAGGTTTTTCCGAGATCTCCCGACTCCCATTCTTACTCTCAACTGGCTCGATGCTTTCTGCAAAGTTGCAGACAGTCGGTTCCTACTTTGTACATTTGTTTAGTTGCCGTATATACATATTTAATAGTTAAGTTTTAAGATATATTAGTGATTAAGTTAGCGGTGTTAAATAAATATACAAATTGAACGTGTTGTCAGATATAAAGGATGAGAAACTGAAGCTGCATGCTATTCAGACGTTGATGTGTGTGCTTCCTGATGTCAACAGAGCCACACTACAGGTCGATAATTCTGGTTCAATGTATCAATTATGCATATTACTAATTAACACAGCTTTGAAAACGTTTTATGGTTTTAGTGTACACACACACGCACCCACTCATACAAACACACACATACACAAGGGTAACTTGAGATTGGGAGTCGTGGTTGAGTTGGCACCCTCCGCCTTATTATCTTTTTGCTGCTGCCACGGCACCACTTCAGAGCCTGCTGTCCCGCATCGGTCCGTATATGGATTCGTTGAGATCCGAAATTTACAAAAGTTGGTGTTCTTTTTATGGCGACGCTCTCAATGTGGAAGCCGCAGAAAAAGTGATATGAAGCCTTTTTAAACAAAGCAGTTAGTAATGTAAACCAGCTATATATAGATAAAACCAGGTTGTTGGTCGTTTGAAGTGAGTTGGGCTATGCACAGTTGATAGGTGTGCCGGCACTAGGCGTGATGTAGGGATGATGCTTCACCACTGGGCCATTATGGTCTCTCGTGTAGACTAGGCTCCGGCGTCATGTTTAGGCTTTTTCAGAAAGCCAGCATACCAGCCATAAAAGAGCTTGCTGGTATAATTTCTCATAACAACTTTCATCGAGACGGTTGCGCAATTGTCTCATCGTATCGAGGCTGCTCGCTTACATGGGGCGTCACATTTCCACACACCTTGGCTGAAAGGTATATCAATTATACCTTAACTGAACCTGGTTCAGTCGCAGTAAAGGCAGCCAACTTCAAACATGACAAGCTGTTAATGATGGCCCAAATTTTTTTTCGTCCATCTATGTAGAAACTTTCGGCCCCACTGACAGACACACAGCTTTTCTTGCAGCAAATCAGCACAATAAATGTTGAAATAACTGACGACTCTAACGATAAAATATACATGCTACAAAATATTTCAATTCTACTGAATAGGTTTAATTCATTTTGCATTTTAGAAAATATTAATAAATGCCACGTTGTGTGTGCCACCTCAATAACTTATGATACACTGGTATGCTTTTAAAAAAATTTTTTAGATGTCTCAAATATTTTAGTTGTTCTAACATAACCCAAACACGCTGATTTCAAATTTGTACGTGAAATATTTCTACAACTTCAGAATTTTTCACAAATTCAATTTTAACATTTTTATTTTTTACTGATTTTTAACATTCTATATTCACGATTATTCACAAAATAATTTGTTCAAAATTAATAAAATTTAAAGAACATAAAGCAGAAAAGTTCAAATTCAGGACGAAACATTCTTCTTCTTGATTTTCTCCTACATTCTTTAGCCGGCAAATTCTCACTTTTCAACCTTTCACTCATTTCTTAACTATAATCGCCAAGATTTTTCGGAAAATAATCTAAATGTGAAAATAAAAAGTGAATTTTAAGGCTCATTCGACATCTTAATTTTTGGAATGCAGAAAGCATTTTAACAATTACTTCGTAGATTGTTGCTCTCTTGTTCCCGAGAAATTCGTTCACCACAGTTCTATAACTGGTCTATGCATTCAATTCCAATTTATTCATTATTTTAATAAATTTGCTATCTTTCATGAGCATTCCGATATTTGGACTATCGAAGATCCCATCCTTCAGTTTCTCATTACTGATTTTTGGAAATTTGGTACAAATATATGCAAAACAATTATTTTCTTTGTCCAACGCTTTCACAAACTGTTTCATCAATTCAAGTTTAATATGAAGAGGCGGCAGGAGTATTCTATTTGGTTCAACCAACTTAGAAAATTTGATATTTTTATACCTGGTTGAAAATTTGTTCGTAATGGCCAATATTTTTTTCCCCAGTGATCTTTATCTGCCCAGCTATCCCAATCACATAAAAAACATGGAAGTTTAGTATAGCCTACTTGCTGGCCTAGTATAATTCCAATTATTTTGAGATCACCACATATCAACCACTTATGCTCTTCAAACTTGATGTTTTGAAGAAGCACCGCCATGTTGTCATAAGTTTTTTTCAATTTAATAGAATATGCAATTGGCACAAATGCATAAATATTTCCATATTCCCAACTCAGTAATCAACCCAGGTATATTTGAACAATATACAAAGGAATCAACTTTTGAAAAAATTTTTATAAATTCTGCTTCACGATTTCTATACCACGAAAAAGTTGTTTCAGGTTTTGATACATTCTTAGCCTTTAAACGTGATTCCAGTAACTTTGATGAAATTTTTAATAAATTCAAATCTCGAACAGGGTCGTTTAATTCAGCATGAGAAAATGCTCTTCTAGAATCTTAATTGCTAAGTGAAAACTTGTCTACATCAGTTTCAACAACATCGTCATAACTTGATTCATCATTTGGCAAAACTTCTGCTACGTCAATTGGTATCGGAACAGAAATGTCATCTCCATAAATTACTGGTCTCAATGCTGAAGGCAAATTAGGATATGATAAATTTTTTTTATTCTTGTTGTTAAAACCTTTGATGTTTACCATGCAAAAGTAACAATCGCCTGTGCGATTTTTGGGTCCACACCATATCATTGAAATTTCAAAACATAAAGAAGTTTTCAAACATTTGCTCCAACTTTTTAGTCCTTCTACACATGTCCTGCATACAACATGAGGTGCCTATGGTTTATCTTGATCACCTAATTTTATTTTATAATATGTTTGATACATTTTTTTTCACAAATCCATGGATGAACTGTCTTTGCTTTTGAGTCGTGTATCTTCCTTAAATATAACAAATGAATTTGGAGAATTCAAACAACATCATTTGGAACTCGAACCAGTAGCCATGTTAAATTAAATAAATTAAAATGAATAGAAATTTCAATACTAATTAATGATTTTATTTTAATTAAATGGGCCGGCCTAGATTTTGATTTCCAATACATATGTATGTGTCTGTGTGTATACAACATTGCCCAAGTGAGTAATGAATATATACACAGATACATGCACATATATATTGGATTATATCATTGAAATATTATACGTTATCTGAATTTTTCTGTATTTCAGTAATATGATGTTTTAAACCATTTTTTTGGAATTATGAAAAAACTACGATAGAAAAAAAATGGAATACATATTTGAAATCAGCACATTGAAATCTATTAAAAACAAGTTTTCTTTTTGAAACTGATATCATGCATACCAGTGAATTGACGAGTCGGAATGAAATTGTAGCTTCTATAGTTTTTATTTTTATCCAGAGGCTCGCGCATACACACACATATACACACACACATTCACTTTGCGTTCCTACTTTATTGGCTCCAAAAATTCACTTTGCGTTGATCCATTATTTCTTTTTATTAGTAGTTTTTTTGTCGGTAGTAAAGAAACTACTAATTTTACATTCAGGTTCTGTTTGGTTTGTTGGTGAAAATTGTACAAAATCCGCAGAACAAAATGACTGAGCAGAATATCACGATGATCATCACGCCATCATTATTTCTCGTCGACTCCTTGCCATCTGCCTCCACGCCCATCAATGGATTCGACAGCCTCGCTTTCTTCTCTCCGATTGTAATGTACTTCTTGAAGCATTATAACCTCATCTGGGATGTACGTGCATCTATCTATATTTTTGAGTCGTTATGTGCGCGTGTGCGCTTATTTCTTATCGTATGTGAAAGAAAGATTGATCGAAAATTATTCGCTGTTTATGTTTAAATTGTTTTGTTTTTTCTATTGCATTGGTGCTCCTGGTGCATGTGGTGTGGTGATGGAGATGTATAAAGGTTTAGTTGGTCATTCGTGATGTTGATGAACATGTTAATAGTATTAAGCCTGAGTGACGCATGAAATAATCAATCTTTGAAACAACGATGACATGTGAAGATTTGATTTTTTCTTTTTATAATTTAAAAAATCAGATACCACCTTTGTTTTTAAAGCAAATAAGAGAAGTCAATCAGAAGCAGAAAGTTGGTTTTAAAATATGTTTTTAGGTGTTATATAATTCAATTGCTGAACGATTTTGAAATATTTTATACATGTTTTGTAGTTTGATAATTTATGGCTGAATTTTATTTGCATACTCCAATACCAAATCATGAAAAGCAGTTTAAAGTTTAGCTATTGATAATTATTATTAGACTTAATGAAAAGCTGTTGGTAACATTTACTGTCTCTATTCACAATGCTTTCAAATTGTATTCATTCAGACCAAATGGATGTCGGGAAGGAGAAGTGTGCCAGCAGGCAGTAACAAGGATATCGAGAACACCGAGGAACTGGCAAGTAGACGTGTTTGGTTGGGCTTGTTTCCTACCGTGTTGTTTCATTTTTGGTTGTATGACGGTTAAACTGGACGTCGTTAAAAATAAAACAGCATTGCGTATGAACGAAAAAAATATATGTTTAAGATTACCGTACATTCCCTGCACGCTGACAGCCAAACAATTACCATCAAATTCAACTCTTCAACAAGTGTTGCCGAAGTTCTGCAACATTTTAACAAGTAATATGTTTCAGGAATTTTTTACATTTTATAATTTAACACCATTAATTTAGCACAGTTTAAATCGGTGAACTGGCAGAATTAATAATATTATATTTATTGAATATAATAAATTTTCATTATATTCAATAATAAATTTATTGAAATATAATAAATTTTTTATAATTTTCAAAAATGTTGATAGTTGATGTTTTATTATTTGTTGATGTTTTATTATTTGTTGATGTTTTATTATTTGTTGATGTTTTATAATTTGTTGATGTTATTTTGTTTTAATTAAATCGGATTTTGATGAACACATCCAGATTCAAAGAATCTCGATTTCTAGAATCTACATGTCTTTTTGAGAACGGTGGAAATATTGGTTAGATACTACTTGATAAATATTTCTCACTATTTTTAAAGCACCAATCTTAAAAATTAACTTAATACTCTTTTAAATAGCAACAAAATTTAAGCCAAACAATGTCGTCCCCTCACTAAAACAATCACCAATAAGTAGGCACATTTGCAAATTTTCAATTTTTATATAATAATCCAATTTGAAAAATCTATCATATTTCTTAATTTATTGAAGAACCGTTGAGGTCGAAGAAGTCCAACTTTTTGTAGATTTCCAAATTCTCGTTCCATCCTTGACTGATTTTATTCAATTCAATATACATGGTAGGTTTTCCAACCTTTTTCCAACATGTCTTTCTTGTCAATACAGATCCCACTAATCACATTTTTGGAAAGGAAGATTTTTTGTCTCAGCTGCCCATACTTGAAATGTGTTACCTGCTGATCTGAAAAAGTTTAACAGATTAGTCGAAATGACTTCAAAAAGCGCCTAAAAATCATTATTTGTTATATAACAATTTCCACAGCGAAGAAAATGAAGAGTGCGCATATGTAGTAGGCTCACGACCTTCTTCTTCATAGGTTTTTCATTTTCCATGCTAGCTTCATGTAAATTCGTTTTTTCCCAACTTTCTCTAGCTTATACCCAACCTTTTTTATTCACTCTATTTCAAAGCTCTAATCTATTCTTGTTTTTTTTTTATCGTCCTAGTTTTGCATCTTTTTTGGAATTTTTTAATAAATTTTATGAAATACCACTGACTATTTTGTCCTTATCAATTTATTCAGAATTTTGTCTTCTATTGCGCTTATTTTTATATTTTTTCTTTTTTCCAATTGCTCTCTTTATTGCTCCTAAGGTCATTTCAGTTTTTTCTTTGTTGTATGTTTTCTGCTCATAGGAGCTAAAAGCGTTTTATTTTCATATTTGTTTACATTGGTAAACAAGTCTTTAGTATTTTTTGTTCACTTATTTATTTTTAATCAGTTTTGTTTCTGTAAGGACGTTGTCATCTTTGTCTTTAGTATCCTTCGACGTGTTCCTTTGCTTATTTTTCAGTTGTTTTACCGAGTGTTGAGCCTCTTTTTATTTATTTAGCGCGACCAGTGTTTCGGTATCATACACTCGTATCATATATGTTAATTGAAAATTTATGGGACATCCTATATAAAAAATTCCTTCTTAGCTAAGAGGATTCAATCGGCTCACATTTCACCATTGTTTTAAATTAAAATATAAAAAACAGTTTTTGAACATTTTTTAATCAATAAAATCAAAAATACTAATTTTCATTTGTTAAAAATAATTAGCGGTTCTCCGATCTTATGTATTAGTAGTATTTGTAGTATACTACTGACGTTTGCTGTTGAAACCCATCATTGAATGTCGAACCCTAGGTCAGTATGGTGGCCATTTTTTTTTTATTTTGAACCAGCTTCTGATAGTTAAAAATTGAAGTCTATCTTCCGTATTTAAAAAGAAAATGCATTCAGTTGTTGACAACTGAGTGTACTTAATAAACGAGAAAGGAATACTGTGATTATTACCTTATTTTATAAATTTTACGGAGTTTTCGTCATTTATAAATTTTTGTTCCTTTCAATGATTTTCAATCTATTTATAGAAGCTACTCAGTTACTCATTTTAATAAAATTCGATAAGAATAACACAATTACCTAAAAAAAGTTTTTTAAGCTTCAATTAACCTTTTTTCTGCTGGAGTCCTTTATAAAGTACACTTACAAAAAATTCATTAAAAATCGAAATCTTGTTATATTTGTATCTTTTTTTCTTTTAAACATTGTATACTTCCTTCTATAATTTATTTTTGTAAAAAAATATTTAGTGGCGCGTGCCGTTGATTTTTTAAATCAATTTAAATAGCCGAGTTTGCAAAATTGGTGAAAAAATGTCTCAACATAAAAAGTTAGTAATTTTTATTATTTTGTTTGCGAAAATTTTAATATATTATGGATTAAATTTGTGTATTAATGTATTTTAAATATTATTTTGCAAAAAACAAATCCTATTTAACTGTTGAATATTTTAAAATCAGTCATAAGCATGTGTCCTTTATAAAGGACGCTAGCAGAATATGATACCCTGAGATTCACTTAGTTATCACATTACAAATTTTTGTTTTTCAATAGTGTAAATACAATAAACACTATCAATGAATTATTATTTGTTAGTATGAACATAATAATAAATTTACTATTTATTGTAAAGATATTCAAGTTAATAAAATAATTTTTTTTAGATTTTTTCAGAAAAATCCTGCTAAGAAGTATTCTCTGCAAGATGTTTTAACCATGATTGGAGATGATGACAGCATTATTGAAGCTGACATTTTTATCAGTCCTCCTGATGAAATCAGATGAAGATTGGATGAAACACATGATCAAGGATCATTTGATGATCTACCTGCACGGCAATTACTGAGTAAGGCCGAAGCAAAAATAAAACAAATTGGTGGATCCAAAAAAATTAGCATTGTGAATATTGATTATGTTTAATGTTTTATAAATGAATGGTAAATTACTATCATAATTCAAAGACATTAATAATTTTTGAAATTATTTAAAAAAAAACTACAATAGAATGATAAATCATGTGAAAGTGATAGTAGCGATGAAATTTTCAATATCTCAAAACCAAAAAAAGATAAAAGAACAAGACAATGAAAAAAAGTTGATATATTTGTAAGTCATCAGATGGTCACCATCTACAAAAAATGTCCAAACAAAGAAGATGTGGCCATTGTGACAAAAAGACAAACTTAATATATGTTTTGCATGTGATGTACCACTGCACATTGCTTGTTTACCTGATTTTCATAAATGATTTTTTAACTTTTTTTAAATGACTTATATTTTTTTATTTGATATTTTCAATCTTTTGTTTATTTGTTTCATAAAATTGATGAAAGTTGAGAAAATAACAATAAAAATTAATTTAAACAATGGTTGCGCCTCAGGGTGTCATATTCTGCTGGCGTCCTTTATAAAGGACGTTTTGAAAAATCGCTCTAACTTTTTTAAAAATTAAAATTTTGAAAAAAGAAAAAATGCGTTTTAGTTTTTTTATTGGTATCTACAACATATATAAAAATCTAAAACCTCAGCAGAAAATGGGCTAAAATTTTCGTAAGGAATTGGACATCTAAACCTCGGTAAGACTAAAAGAAGATGCGGTGTATAAATGATGGATTTCTATAGCTTAATGAGACATATACATGATATGCTAACTACCCCTTAACATCAATTACGCCAACTACCTCCTTAACTTAAATATTCTTAGTTACCCCTTGAGTCGCAATGTGCCAATTACCCCTTACAACTCTCGGAGATGATTTTTATGACGCAAAGGCCTATATATATATATTAGCTCAGACAGTCGTATGCTCGATTGTGAAACTGTGCTCTGTGATCTCAGCAACACTTGCATGATAACTCATTCCTACAAAAACTAATTTGAATTTTCATCAAAGAACAAAGATTGTTGCATCCCGAAGAAAAGATCAGAAACATCTTGCAGGAGAACAAGTCAGCCAGATTTTCATTCGTTCGTCAATCAGCAGAATCTCTCATCACTCACTGGCCTCCCAAGCTCATCTGATGCTTTTATACATTTTGCTTCTTTTTTTACAAGCTTTTATTCTTACTTGACATTTATTTTAAAGTTTTCAATGTGTTTGATTGGTTAACAATGTTAAACATTTTTGTTGTGATTATTTTTTTTATTATTTGCGTTTTTTTTCGTTTCTATTTTTAATTTTCTAAATATTTAATTGATTTGTTTGTGTCATAAATCTACCTGTGGCTCATTGTAAACGTTTATGAGAAATGATTTTTAAAATACTTTAAAGATGCAATCACAGATCATATTTATTTTGATTTCATCCTGTCTTTGATTTATACTTTTTAAAATATTTTTATTTTTTACGTGATGTGAATTACATAAGTCTCAGCTGTACGTTCAATTTAAATAGCAATCGAAACAATTTTTTTGCTAAACTTTGATTTGTTTCATTCATTTGTTCATTCTTTGATTTCTTTTAGTGATGCTGGTGGGAAGGATGAAGATGATGATAATGATGATCACTATCATTATCACCATCAATTCACCATGATCGCTACAATTGGGCTTCATCAGCCACTCCGTGACCAATCTAATCTTTCTTTGGTTAACAAGACATGCACTTCTCTACTGAATGCCTTTCCAAAAAAGTTTTATCTGACAGACTTATTCATGTTTCGCGCTTATATATTTTAATTTCATGCTAAATATCTACATACTTTTCGGTATATATACATATTTTGACGTTTTTTGGATTATTTATACAAAACTTTGATATTTTTTTGTCCGAAGTATAAATTATCAAAACTTTTTGTCAAAATGCTTTTTATGTTGCTTTCTACCATACTACATATTAAAATGGTTTATTTTGCAGTTCTGTCAGATGTTTATTAAATACAACTAGACTGTATTTGTTAATTTTATTTGTGAGAACCAGACACAGTATACACACATATAAATTTTTTAATATGATGAAAAATTTAAATTTATTCTTCATCTTACAAAGTCATCCATATTCATATCAAGTTGTCGTAATCATGTAATCATATGCCTCATCCAGCCATTTGAAAGCTAACATTCACTCCACGATATCAAACGATACCAGACAATAATCACAGTGAATGTAATACTTTTTGAAAATTAATTAGAGATCTAGCAATACGAAGTGTAAACACAAATAACAATTGCAACAACTGGTCTAAAAATAAAGTTTCGTAAATAAAATTTCACACTTGAAAACAAGAAAACTGATCGTTGAATGTTCTAATTCTTTAATCTAATGTTCAATAACAATTTTATCAAAAAGAGTAATTTCATTTCAATTTGAACAATCTTTTTTGAAACGGTAAATTATCGTTTACTTTTAAAAAGTCTTGAAATCTCGCGAAAAAATCAACAGATGAATTTTTTTAAAAGACAAAAATACCCTTGTCGTGAAAATTATTAAAAAACATATTTCGTATTTGACAAACATCTCCGACTTTCGAAGTGTCATGTGTGCCGTTGCATGAGTACTAATTATAATGTGTTCTATCATAATTTGCATTTGGTTCTACAAGCGCTGCAAAAGAAACATTTTTCATAAAGTGTTGTTCTGTACTTTGAAATAATAAATAAACTTTCAAACTTAAAAATATGAATCTTATAATTTGAGAAAGTGTTACCTACTGCATTTTATATATAACAGTATATAACTATTTCACTATAAAATAAATAATGAAATATGATATGGATTGCAAATGTATTGCAAGGTAATTCTGCAGATGAATAAATAATAAAGACGTAGATCGTTTAATTATGATTTAAATTAAACTGAAAAATAATTGAATCGCTTGTAATGATGCATTTGAACACTCTCATCTTCTGTGTAATAAACTATTTTTAAAAATTACACACGATAACAAAATAATACTTCTCAATGACGACCATCACCTTCCGGCGACTCCCACTACTATTCGTTAGGTTTCGAACTGGATATTCTTATACTTTCGCCTGACAGGCCGAATGCCGTGATGAAAACATTGAGAACCATGACGACGTACAGAAGGTAGAAATGAAAATTGTGCCAAGATTTCAAGATGTCCATGTCACACAACATCTTACTCTCGTTACCACAACAGCAAGTTTTATTCCAAGTGCTCTTCTTATTGGCAGCGTTTGTCGATACTCTGTCGTCGGGTTCATCTTCTTTCAAGTCGTCAATTTTAATACTAAAGACTTCGGTCTTTTTGGATTGATGTTTTGATTCTTCTTGGGTGGGACCCTCTCGAATGGTTGGAAGTTTCTGGTAGGATGTCGACGTACTGGCTATTGGCGAATCAGCGAAAGGCAGATGAGGTCGGATTTGTGATAAGACTGTTGTTGTCTGCTGAAGCGGTTTGTAAACCTCGTATTTGCGTACTGCATTGACTGAGTTAGAAAAATAAATTTTTATTTTTTATTAGTTTTGATAAATAGTAAGATATAAACTCAAAAAATATTTAACACGCGTCTACACCTACACGAAAATAAAAGAGATTTTTTTTTAAATATTTCGTGTTTAACTAGTTGAAGGCGCTTGCATAAAATGCAACCATTAAAACACACAAACTGAACTCACCAGGAACGGGTTTCTCTTCAGTATTACAACTGATTGTCAAAGATTCCAGCGACTCTTTCGTCATCGGCAGTTTCGCCCATGACTCAATCCTTCTGTGGGTTACGTAGACTGTGACCAAACCAATAAGAATTTCTATGCAAATGCACGTGATCAGTGATGTCATAATGACGTAATAGAAACGGTGCTGGCTTACTTGGGTTTCGAAGAGTAGTTTGAGTTCGGTGACTTGGGTGATTAGGAGAATGGTTACGAGAATGAGTGTTTGTGCCATGCGTCGTCGTTGTTTCTATTCAGTTTGGTTGTTAATATTCAACAGTTGGCATTGGACAGGAGATGATAATCAGCTCACCTATGGCAAATTCCTGACGTGGAGATGTTATCAACTTCATGTTTCCCACGTTAACACGGCGGCACAAATTTTCTAAATCCAATTTGATAAACGTTCCATTATTTTTAACCACGAGTAGAGTTCCAACGAAGAAATTATATAATTTGAGTGCTCAAAGTTTATTTATTAATTAAAGTAAATGTTTATACCATTATAATTTTTGAAAACTATTGAAATGATTTATTAGTTTCTTTCAAACATTTTTTGTCTGCATCATTCGCCAAGTTCTCCAAGAGAATCAACATAAGTAAACAAATATTTAAGAAGGTAAGTGTGCTGATCTATGTGCTTACTCCATGCAAGGCATTCATTAACGTTCTCTGCACAGCTATTCGTACAAGTGTCTGTCGGTCTGTCTCGCATCTCTGTCAGTGGACTGTATGCCATGCCTCTCTACTTTTAATTCCGATTGTATGTTACTTGCGAGTTCACGTAGCTCTAATGTTTTGATGCGTGCACGTGTTTGACGGCGTTTGCATATAAGCTGGAGCGTACACCAGAACACATACGTCTTCTCTACATGTATATGTAACATGGAAGGGCATTCGGATATGTGTTTTTGCATTTGTACAACAATGTATGTAGCTGTTAGCAAGCAGGTTTGTGAGAAGAACGTGCGCAGTCTGTGTAAGTAGTGTACACTGCACATGTCCCAGCTTTAAAGTCATCGTTTGAATGCAGATTTATACAAAAAAATTAAAACCTATTTTGTTAATACAAACGAGTGTTTGCCCGGAAGTTCTAGGTGGGTGTTTATGTTGTTTTGTGGCGATGCTGCTTGTTGAATGGCGTGCATGCATAATTTGATGTACACACTGCGCAGACGGTGGCATCAATCTCTCCACGGATGCCCCTGCCTGCGTGTGTGTGCGTGCGTGTGTGTGTGCTTGTGCGTGCTCTTTGTGTACGCCTCAAGTTCTTTCCCTCGTTTTGCTAATGTTTATACGTATAAAATGATAAGATACGTAATGCTAAGATGCTAATGTTTATACGTATAAAAAAATAAGATTAAAATGAACGATTAGATAAATTAAATAAATAGACTCTTTATAGCTAATAATAATAGTTAATATATTCTTGAAATTATTGATTGCCACAAAACAACGTTCGCATGAATAATGTTTATTTATATAATAATAATAAAATTAATGATAATAATATTAATGACGCAACAATTTTTAATGCGTAAAACTCTCGCTGCCTCGGACGCTGACGTTTTTTGAAATCCAGCGTAGAGTTACAGAGTTCCAAACGTGTGGAGCAGCAGGTCAAACATCGTGACTTGAGAATTTTGATTTAGCAATGAAAATGTTAAGGAAACTGGACGAGGAGGTGCGGAGGGCTTTATTGGACTCATGGTGAGAAACAAGAGAATATAAGTAAGTGGGTAATTTAGAATTTATAACTTCGAAAGAAGTGAGTTGGAAATTTATAAATTATACGTGGAAGCCACTTCAGTTTTTTGAAAAAGTTGTAAAACATGTTAAGTCCGACCGGATTTGTGGCACACACAAATAAAAAAATAAGATAAAATTAATAAAAATTATATATATATATATATATACATACAGTATTTTATGAATTCTTCCAAATTGTTGGCATTAATCAATTTAAAGTTTGTATCAATTCGAACAACGAAGATGGTATAGTAATGCCGAAAACAGCTTTTCTGTTCTATCACGATTAAAACAAATAAAAATTTTGGTTTTGAACTCAAGAAACTTGAGATTAATTAACGATTAACCGTTAGAAAAATTAAACAGAAAGCTAATTATCAATATATAGAGTATTATATATGTTATATTTAGAGTATTACAAATGTTATATTCAACATAAAGAGTATAATATATGTTATATTCTATATAGAGAGTATTACAAATGTTATATTTTTTATTTAGAGTATTACAAATGTTATATTCAACATAAAGAGTATAACATATGTTATATTCTATATAGAGAGTATTACAAATGTTATATTTTTTATTTAGAGTATTACATATGTTATATTCTATATATATGGTGTAGACAGAAGAATTAAACCAGACTCTAAAGCGCACTGAAAATATGCGAGGGTGCGTTCGAGGGCCAGTATAGGTATTCTGAGTGTATGTTGAAAGCATTTTATTAATTTTGTTTTCAAATTTCACTCACTTAGAAGTATTATTTATCATTTTTTAATATTTTATTCAATTATTTTAATATTTATAACTGCTGTCGCTCGGTTTATTAATTTTTAGAAACATTCCTGCGGCACGACTTCTTTGATATTTTCTTTGATTTTTGTGATCAAATCCTCACATAAACACTTCAAACTTTAGTTGAGTTGGCGGTTCTCAAATAATATAAAATTTGAAAGAAACGCTCGCAATCATCTGGCGAGTGAAGAGAGGTTTAATTAAGATTGAACAGTGCAGCTATAACAAAGATTATAAAAAATATTTTTGTTGAAGTCCGTAATGATGGAGGCTGATTGGAGCTGGCGTGCCGTTCAGACGAGTGTACAAAATTACGTAATAAACAAGTGCATCATGCTTGCACACAGTGAAAATCGATGAAATCGTGTGGTGCAATGAGCTCGCTGCAAACAATTTCATTGTGGATTGAGTTTCGAAAATTTGTGAGAACTTCAGTCGTTAAGTATTTAAAACGGATCAGTTCTTCATAGTTATTGTGAGCATCTAACCAGTCATCATCCAGTTAATGACAACAACACAATCACCCAATAAACAACAACAACAACATACCCATCCGGTTTTTAGATAATTGCGGATCGTTGAATGAAGGATGTTGAAAATAATTAGGACGTGATGTTCATACCGGCAGTCATTTCTAATCTGCTAATCAGCAGTTTGGCTTCTGTTTTTGATTATATTTGCTAATTCCCGCCAGATTATTGTGAATATTTTTGAATAATTGAATCTCTTGAAAATATCTGCAGACGGAAATGATGATTTTAATAAATGAATATGGCTAAATAGAAAAATATAATTAGACTGGTTCGAATCATAAAAAATTACAGCAATCAAAAATTCTAAATGTTGTTAAGAAGTTGGTAAACAAAGTTGTGTGAAATTTACAATAGAGTATTTTTATGATGACGCCTAACTGCACATGTGATGTAGGATTTTGCCTTCTTACGTTGTTTGCATCTGACGGGTTTTTATTTCTCAGCGTTTCTTCTATCCATCTGAAACAAAAAAATGATATAGAGCTGCGAAGAAGAAGAAGACCTTGCATGGCATGCAACCTCAATTGCACGCACACACATACACGCAGGTGCTTTTGCATTGAAACTTCCTCCAAACAACTCAAATCATTTCAACGGTCGATAAGGCGTCACATTTTTTATCCCTGAAATACATAATCCTGCCTGACAATTACTGGCTCAATCTTTAGGTAACATACTGTAAGCCCGTAGAATAACTACAACTGCAGTACAACTGTAAAGATAAACTTAAACGTATATAATATTAATATAAGGAGTTGGTGTAGAGTGTAATGTTGATGGTGATGAAGACGAAGACAACGTTCACAACAGACCTAGCTAGTTTTTTAATTATCACATGCAGTAGTTGTTAAGACACGGAACTTTGAAATTATCTTTGCTCCTTTCTTGTGAGGCTTGACATAAGGTAACATGTTGTAAGGTTTGTTTTTTAAATAGAAGGTGGAAACCGAAGCCAAATGTTTTCAAGTGTATAATGTTGAAGAAACATCGCTAATCTGTTACTTAGGGCAACCTAGATATGGGTAAATATATTTATACTCTGAACATTTGAACGTTCGAAACACTTATCACCACAGTTCCCACCTTGACCCTCCTGCCACGAACGTCTCCATTGTCGTGCTAGGAGAAAACGATCGGTCCAGTTGTTTGAAATAATTATCTAGAGTTTATTCCACACACAACTTATTAGTTTGGCAAACGTTACATTTGATATTTTGCTCACTCGTACGAAGGCAAGGAAGAACATTCGCAATCTTCTGACGCCGAGAACGAAAGTGAACACCGTTCATAGCAAACACTTGTTGTGTGACTTAACGTACAGAAGTTTTTACGGTTTGAAAATTAATATTAAGCAGACACTGTCTTTTTAAACATTGCACGTTTTAATCACAAATTTTTTTGTCTTTTCAATTTGTCAGGCGATTAAATATTTCACGGTCATAAAAAGTTTTATAACAGGTTTCACAAATAACTTTGTTTCTAGAAAGATTTTTCAAGTTGTACAAATGAGTGGTTTAGGTTAACATATGAGAAAAGTTGTTCGAGTTTGACAGAAACTATAAAAATAAACAAAGAACTAAAAGTAGAAGAATATTTGTTAAATAGATTTTTATAAAAAATTTTTCAAAATAGTCGGACTTCGAACAACCACCCCTCATTCAAACATAAACAGGTTTAAAATTGCATGCGTCTCATCACACAGACCAATGCAACCTTACACACACAGGCAAAAACACACAAATGCATATCTTCTACACACACACACACACACAACACACACACACACACACATACAGAGATACTACTTACATAAATATGTAAGTAAAAGCACATACAGAGTAAAAGCACATACAGTCAGTTGGCCGGTCGGTCGGTCAGTCAGCCAGTCAGTCAGCCAGCCGTCAGTCAGTCAGCCAGTTAGTCAGAATCTGATCGATTTCAGTCCATTTGTTCAACTTTGGTTATTGTGATTGAGAGAAGGAAGTAGTATATCGATCTATGTATATACGACTGGTGCTGTACCGTTTAAAAACGTTTGAGAAGTCTCAAAAGTAAAAATAAGTTATATTTTATACATACATCATATAAGAATATTTTTTACTTGAGACCCTGTTACGCGTGTATACGGCACGCATGTACAGTACACACACATAGTTAAACGATATACGGATGATGCGCTTAAGCCTTAAATTAGTTTTTATGAGATGAAATTGGTTGTTGATAAGGCGTTTCATCTATAAACACGTTTCTTTGGCTATTTCGTTTGGCGCATTGTCTGTCTGATTGTCTGTCTGACAGACAATCAAGCTGTAATGAAAAAAATTTACTGCCTACTTGTTAAATTAATTGCTATGTTTTCTAAAAACAAGCAGCCAACCGGAGACTCTTTGGTACTTATTGACTTCCGGCTTACCTCAACATAGTTTTATCAAATTGTTTTTCAGTATTCAAAATGTTTAAATTGACTTAGTTGAAGATAATTATTAAATAGAGATGTGCCCTATCTGCTGCCCTATCTCAATCACTCGTCGCCACAGGATGATCTCAATTTTCTTCAGCAGCTCTTCCAACGACCAGTTGTTGATTGCAAAATTATTTTGTTATAAGACCTCAGATCGGAGTTCGGAGAAGTTCACCGCTGGATTGGGAAATTTTGTGGGTGGTCGATCTTAAAATTTTGTAAAGTTGAAATGTACTTTTTCATACGATCGGATTGAACCTTATATTAACATGCAAATCAACATGGAAATAGTAAGTGTCTTTAAGAGCATCAACGGACGACGTCTATAATAGATTCTTAATGAATATATTGAAGCTAATTCATTAGAAGCGCTGTACAAATTCCGCAACACAAAACAATCTGACCCAATTATGCTATACACGTGCCTGAATTAAAATGTTTTTGCGTATGAATGTGAATGAACGACTGCAAGCTAATGTATGAGAGTTTCAAATAATGTTCGCATTCAAATGTCAGAACATGCATGAAACACTTACTGCATGTGATAATAAGATTTATTGGCTGCTTGTTATAAGGCTTGCCTGCATGCATACATTTACGTACATAGGACTCAAATGTAGCTTGTTATATAATGAAGTGAAATTGTTTAAGACAATTATATTAAAATTACCCTGAGTGATATTTCATTACCTACTCGTTAATATTTCATATTGAAAATAAAAATACTCAATAGGACACTTTAAAATATTATTTTATTGTTCGTTCATTTATTTTTACAGGGACAAATAAGCTAAGCTAACTTACGATGAAGTTTCTCCTGGTTCTCGCTTTCGCACTTGCAGTTTTGCACTCTGGTGAGTGAAATATTTAGCATCCTTCATGCGATCAATACAACTGATGCAACAAATTACAATAACGTTAATCAACAGGAAGGTGCATGTTGAGCCTGAATGATGGTTACAAAATCAAGGAGCTCTACTTTCCTGAGCTAAATGGGAAGGTTTAGATCACTGGTGTTCTATAATTTAATGTATGTCAGATTGATTAGCTACATTCAATGCAAGTTTCGACTTACCGCAAAAAACACTCGAAGAGCCCTTTTTCACTTCATTTATTATCATGGCGTGATGGCTCAATGGTTAAAGGCGCCTGGTCTTGTCCCTGCAGTGACTGGGTTCGAGTGCAAAAAGATCCATGCCTATCATATGCAATGTGTATGATGCGTGATTTTCACGCATATTCATATACGCTGTGTGTTTGTCGTTGAAACCTATGAAGCAAGCGCAAAAGAGAGAGTAACCTTTAACCCTTCAGCCTTTTATTATAATATATTTTATAAATGACTTTGCAATAAATATTAAAGATACTACAATTATAGTGTAATAATAAAATGTAAGTTACACCACAACAACTATCATGGATATTGTGGAAATCATGTTTGGGCCTTATCGAAAACCTCCTTGATCCGAAATGTTGAAATATGAATATTGTTGTTGTTGTTGTTAAATTCTCTACAGACCATAGAGGAAGCTCAATCAATGCTGGAAGTTCAAATGCCTGGCACCTGCGTGAGTTGAAACATTTCATAAAAATTATTTCATTTTACAGTTTGTAATAAAATGTTTGTTTTAAACTTGGCTCAGTGAGATGGCTGACCAATATATATTTGTTCTTTGTTATATGAAAAACTTTGTCATCAAAGTCTACATCATGTAAACATTGTACGACAAAATTCTAGTTAAGCCACTGTCACACGTATTTTTTTTACTTTTTGTGTCTTTAATAAACAATGAACAATTTCCAAATTGATGTTAACAGCACGTGAACGACGCACGGTTTAAAAGCGACAACTGAACCAAAACAAAAAACTCGAGAATAAAATAAACAATTATTTCAAAGTTTTGTGTTTTACTTTTTGTAGAGTACTCTCTATTTTATCTGCATATCATCTATGCACTGATCAGTAGGCATTTTACAATTTTGGCCAAAAAATTCTGATAAATTTTTCAATCTAATTATTTTATATTAAAAAATTGAAAATCAAACAAATAAAAAAAGTTCAAAAGTAGAAATAAACATTCAAATTATTAAATATGCAGACATGTTTAATTAAACCATAAATATGGAAAGCGAGCTGACAAACCAAAGGCGCAGGTTTGTGGTGGAAATATAAAAGACACATATGCGATTGACATTCCACATGATGGAATTTTAAAATTTTTAAAGTCATAATTATCTTTAGAATTGTAGATGATATGAGCCAAAAATATAGTATAAATCAATAAATATAAATAAACGTAAGTTTTAATAAATATTAATAAAAATAAATACTAATTTTAATAAAAATAAATATTAATTTTAATAAAAATAAATACTAATTTTAATAAAATTAAATAGTAATTTTAACGAAAAAAATATTAGTTTTAATAAAAATAAATAGTATTATTAATTATGAAAAAACAATGATTTATAAAACACAACCTTGAAATATGGAAAAAGCGTCATTTTCAAACTTGATTGTAAAGTAGTACAAAATTCACGAAAAAAATTCAACCAACCTTTCCATTTACAAAAAATGCAGCCCACTTCACCAATAGTGGTAAAATTTACATGTCTTGTAAAACATGAAAACAATTTGATTAATTAAAGTTTTAAAAACTTTTACTTTTTAATTTATGATTAAAAAACGTTTCACAAACAAAAATAGTTTCAACAAGGAGAAAATATTTTTTAGTTTATTTCAAGTATATTTTGGGTCGATTCGAACCATGGAGCCTTCAATTATTTGACTGCTTGTTGATTAAGGATCATTACAATTAAATTGCAATGAAAATATTTTGCATGTTTCCTCCTAAAAGATTCGTCAGCTGGAGACGCCAGTGCCTTCAGAATATTACTACGGTTGTGTGGGCATCGTAGTGAAGGAGGGGATAGTGCAGAACCCACCCCACTACATGGGGCAAGGTAGTCATTCATTTGTGTTTCGGTTGGGACTGTCTTATAGGTGGAAAGTCTTAAAAGTTCAGGCAGCTTTTTGGCAATTGTTTATAATGATATGCTAGGCAGACATCAACGTTAACCTATGACAGATAATAACTTGACCGTTGATCTTTTCAATTAATTGTAGTCTGATGATAACTCACGTCGCAATTCATGCCGTCGCTTACAAATATATTGCACGATGAAATATTTAAATTGACATGATCCGTGGTTGTATCTTTGTTTCTAATCATTTCTATTTTTAAAATCAAAATTTTTATTCTACAAATTTTTCCAGTTCCAATATACGATGACTTCAAAGTATTTATTAACCAGGTGAGTTTTAATGTCTCAAAATGTGTATATAAATCTATAAAACATATATTTTTGCACTTTTTTTTGGATATATATATATAAATTTATCTGATAATTATTAGCTAAGTTATAATTATTATATTAAATTATATATTTATATATTTGATAATTATTAAGAAAAATTGCTCTATGTAAGCAGCAGTGTAATTTAATATTTCACGCAGACAGACAAAGAATTAACGTAGTCCTAAACTTAAAACTTCTCTTATCTAAAATTTCATTGTTCATTGTTAATTACTTTTCTAGTAAGAGAGTAATGGTAAGGAAAATATTACCAATGAAGAATAACAAAACATAACATAACGTAACGTAACATAAAATAACATATCTTCCAAGTCTGCCTTTGAACTCCTGTGTTGTAGATACTGTTACGTTTTTTCGTCTGTAATGTAACACGAATATAATAATATGAATTTGAATAATATGATTGACTTCAATTTTTAAAATGAATTGTTTAAAATATTCTTAATATTAATGAATGATTGACGAATATTTTATTAATGCAGCCGTATGAGAACTTAATTGAAGACGCCAAGACGACCCATCTCGGTTACAAGGTGAGATTGTTTGATCGCTGCACTTCTTCAAGAGTTTCTTCAATATGTCAATGATTTTTTTTAATCAGTTGCTAAATCTAAAGAGCGGATTTGAAAACATTTTTTATACCCTAAAAACTGATCAGCGATAGGTTAGTAAAGATGACGTCATATCCGAGGAGGTATGATGTCATCTGGTGGCTGATGGTGGGGCGGGGATCGATTCCAGGTGCGTCTCACGGAATGTCATAGTAGACACCCAATTTTATCTTGCCAGATAATCTTGCCGCTCTTAAGCTTAAATTTTGCGGTTATAATTTTTTAAATCTGTTTTTAAATATCTCTCGAGTCTAATTCTACTTTCACTGTTATATACGATTTTGTAATTCATTTTTCTTTCTCAGTTTTTGCTTTTTGTCTTCCAAAAAATCGTTTTTTGATTTTAATTGATTGGATTCCCTAGGGACACTAAGATTGCACAGTTTTGCTTTGTGAGACATTTTTTCTCATCAAGATGCTTTTTTGAAAATGAAGGTTTCAGTCGACTAATCTTTGGCCGATATTTTTGAATTCAACGTTCTATTTAATTAAAGTTATCTGTAGATATAATCTTATGAAACGTTTTGGTTTTGCAGAATTAACATTTTTCTTTAGCTATTTTGCTCAACAAGCCACGTTAATAGGGATTGAAATAATGCATGGAGGCAATTCAAAGATGAAAATAACATTTCAATTGCACCAGCATGAATTCAAATTTTTGTAGAATAATGAAAATGATCAAATATTCAGCGCAACTAAAGTTGTTTTACATAGTATGTTATAGTAGCTAGAGCCATTCGGTTAAGTTGAAAGAATGAAATGAACACTGCCTGTTGTTGACTCGATCAAAATTATCCAACAAGCAAAATAATCATGCCACTTTTTTTCTTACACACAGTTTGGTATCTCGAAAAATGATTTAAAAATCAGCAATTGTTGTCCAAATCAAAGTTGCAAATGTTACATGTGTTATATATGTTTCCAACAACTTATATACCTAATAGGCAAAAATATCGATTTGTTTTTTCTTTCAAATTAGAAGAATTGCTCAAATTGGTGAAAACAATCATTTTGATTATTAACAAAGTCTGATCTCAACGTGATTAAATTCTAAAGCCAAATTGATTTTGTTAGTAGTTGGATAATATTCAATAAATTTGCATAACTCGTGAAGAGTCATGTATATATTTATCATCTTCAAATATTTTTTGATTTGTTTCACATTTTTAAACCTCGGAGACTTCACTCAGTAATAAATTTATATTGTTTGTATAAAGTTTCATAGCAAATATTTCGCCAAACAAACAGCCTCACTTACATGGCGACAAAAATTCAACCCTCCCCACAGTTTCAAGTCCTCTACCAAGGACAGGCGGTGTACAGCGACAAGGTGGACGGGGAGGGCTACATCGAGGTGGGGGTCGACGAGGCTGGAAACGTCTTGATCGTCTCCCCATTTGGAGATTCACCTAAATACGAAAATTTTATAAAATTTATTATTCCTTGTTTATATTCGCGAAACATATTTTTTGTATTTTCACAATATTAATCTATAAGGAAACGTTAGATGTAGTGATGGTACAGAGGTTTAGGCATTAAATTATGAGACTACCAACGTAAAATATTGCACAATCATTTATTCACACACCTATTGAACATATTTTAATATTGCACGTTTTAAAAATGTATCCAAACTCCATTGTATAATTAATCAGTTGAAATCTGTCGAAATCAGATAATTTTTCAAGCGAGGAACGGTTGCATGCATGCAGAATCGATCTGTTACGTTATATTTATTCATACTCGTTTGCATAAGAGTAGTGCACTAAATATTATATATTTAATAAAGAGTTTGAAAATAATAATACAATTAAAATTGTGTACGAACATGAACAAATTATAATATATATAAATAAATACATATATGTGTGTGTATATATATGTATATACACGTGTGTGTGTGTGCATGTGTGTGTGCATGTGTGTGTGTAAGAGAGAGAGTTTTGAACAGTGCTACAAACAGTCGGAAACGTTGCAGAAACGTTGATGGCAGGGGAGGCAGCATGAAAAGGTCACAATCACAAGGAAATTATTTTTCTATATTAACCTTGCCTGGGGCCATCAATTCGAACATCGAAGATGGCATAGGAATACCGAAGAAAGCTTTTCTGTTCTGTCATGCTTAAAATAAATAAAAATTTAGCTTTTGAACAATAAAAACTTGAAAATGATTTACGATTAACAGTTAGAAGAATCGAAAAATTTAACTAGAAGCTAAATAAGGCGGAAAATGCTGTGATTTTCATCAACATATAAATAAATATATATATATATATATATATATATATATATAGATAGATATAGATATAGATATATGCTCAAACTTATATATACTGTGTATCTACTCTACTTTGTTGATTCTTTGTTTGAAGTTTTACAATCTTCGACTTCGTTCAATATAACACTTTTACAAGGTTGAAGGTTTTAAGTATTCACTTTAAACAAACAAGGAATCAACAAAATAGAGTGTATATATATATATATATATATATATATATATATATATATATATATATATATATATATATATATATATATATATATGTATATATATATTATTATCAAACACTTATAAAGCGCCTATTAAAATAAATATCTCTCACAAGCGCTATCGAAAAAAGAAAAATAATAAACGAACAGTGAAATAATGTACATCCTATCAATAGACGATATGATACAATCAATTACAATCGTTCATCGCGAATAGATAAGTTTTCAAATTCTTTTTGAAATCAACAATGTTCATCTTTGACATTCTCATCGACATTGGCAGACTATTCCAGACGATTGTCCCGACACTGCAATGTCTCTAGACGATGTCTGCAGCTGTGTAGTTGGTACAATCAACAAATAGACGTCATCTGATCGCATCTGATATATATATATATATATATATATATATATATATATATATATATATATATATATATATATATATATATATATATACTTAAGCATCTGGGCATAACCACAACATATCAATTTGAACACCGAAGATGATATAAGAATACCGAAAAAAGCTTTTCTGCTCTATCATGCATAAAATAAACAAAAATTTCAGTTTCAACTCTAAAAACTTGAAAATGATTTACGATTAACTGTTAGAAAAATTAAAAAGTTAAATTGGAAGTTAATTAACGCCGAACATGCTGTGATTTTCATATATATGTTTATATATATGTTTATATATATTTTCATATATATATGTGTGAGTATGAAATGGGTTAACCCATATATGCCCATAATTTGTGTTTTGCCTAAAATTTATGTATATTGCGTCTTTCACTTCACAAAACATGAACTAAAAAAGTTTTTTTGAAAAAATTAACAAATAATTATTTTATGGCCATTTTAGTGTTGATCCTTTATAAAGGGTGGTGGGCTGGGCATACAGTACCACTCTTAGTTTGCTATAGACTTCAACTATTTCTCGTTTGAAAGAATGATAATCAAGGGGATGTGCGACGTACGTACATCGATCATGTAAAAAAAGAGTCACCATCAAACTGAGATCTAGTAACAGCCAATGTTTTGATCCATGCTATCTGCTCCTCCCAAGTGCTGGTTATAATGTTTCACAACTGTGTTGTATGTATCACCACGTTGTTCCCAAAACATGCGTCTCCGTGGTAGAGGGACATAACTAGAAAATAACAGCATGCCGAGAAAAGCTCTTAATTTTTTCACCTCTTTAGTAAACTGTGTATATCCTTTAGGCTCTCTTTCACTACAAGTTGTAGCAGGTCATCTTCCAAAAATAGTTCAAACCATGATGATGGAGACTGATTTTTTGTAACTGATTTTGGAAGAATTGGATTAGAGAAATTGTTGACATGTTTTGGTAGATCTCTTTTGGACCAGTTGCAAACAGGTTTGGATACATATGGTCGTTTAGTAGGTGGGGTTGATTTTATTGCATTATTGGTTGAGCCACTTTGGTTGCACTCTTCCACAGCTCGTGTTTGCTGTTTACATTCGACTACAGGTATTTGTCCTTATTTAGGATATATTGAGTATTTTTTGAGTGGTGCTGCCCCTTTGCTTATGATAAAAAAATTAGTCCATTTTCGTTCTGCTGTATCAGTAACAGTACTTGGTAAATCAAAATCTTCTTCACTACTAGACGGGCTACCGAATCCGATTTCTTCATGTGAATTTGCATAAACAACAACTGCCTCACATTTTGCTTGAAGTTTCTTTCCATTCAGATTATCCAAAAACCCTCCAGCATCTTCATCTGCACTATCTTTTTCAGTTTGACTTCCATCAGGTGGTGTAATGTAAACATGCAATTTGTCAAATTTGTCATGCAATTTGTTTGTTGGATAAAAGTAATTTTTCGAAATGTTTGCTTGCCTGACCCCTCGTCCACATTCCAGGTGTTTGTATACAAAAATGGTGTGGAGGTTAAACCAACCTTAACAAAACATGAGAATTATGCAAGATTGGATGTTGATGCAAACAATAAAGTCAGTGTCGTACTTACAATGAAATATTTCAATAGAAAAAATCAATCAATCGAAAAATTAATAACACATAAAATTTTGTATTGTATAAATTTGTTCAGGCAGTTTTTAATGACTCTTCCTCATTTTATTGTACATGGACACAGCATCGGGCCTTTGACGTCTCAAACAGAAATTTTAAACTCGATTGCCTTTCCTCGTTTTAAAACACTATCAGTCTTCGTCTTGTCTTTTACCGTCTAGGAAATTATTTTTTAACGTTTCAAGTCTTATTTGATAATTTCTTCTGCGAAATTCAACTTTTTTTTTGCTATCAAAACATTTTTTGCCCATTCAATGTCTTCGGTTTTCCTATATTTGAAAAACTCTATTCTGCACAGCCCTGCTTGGCGCAATATGAAACATGATACGTTGAAACATTATACATTGTAGCATGATACTCTTAAGCATGATGCATTTTATAACGTTGAACAGTAAGTTACATTGATACAGTTTGATACATTGAAACAAAATTAATTAAAACATGATATATTGAAATATGATACATTTAAACACGATATATTGGAACATGTTACACTGAAGCGTTGTAGTAGGATCTCTCTGCACTCAACCAACGCTGGAAAACTAAGCCAAAACATTTTTTAAATTAATAAAATTTGAAGTGAGAAGTAACATTTATTTATTTTATTTAAATTTAGAAATTTTATTTTTTTAAAATGCTTTGAAGATTACAAAGAGTCCGAGTTATGTGAGAGTGGTCGGTTGAGATCGAAAAATTAAACTATGTATTTCAATCCAATAGTTCCGTATAATATGTAAATACCAGAAATTATGTTTCATAAACTTTGATCCGCATAAATATGTGCTCCCCAATAAAATGTTGATGACCTTCATGATAACATTATTTATTTTCTTTCGTACAAAATTTGGATTTATTTTTATTTCTACTAAAAATAAAATGACTGCAAATCGTGTTGATCTGAAATCACTAGTTTGGAAAATTCTTTACTATATAAATGCATTATGCATCAATGAAATTATATCGGGCCAATATTGTATGTTAGGTTTTTGTGCAATTTACCATACTGTGGTCAGTGGCGGATTAACGCACAGGCACCGGCCTGGGGCGGCAAATTTTGGGAGGCGGCCAATTTTGAAAACTAGTTATTTAAAAATGTTCAAGTTGAATAAAAATAATTATTGAAATTGATACTTTACTCAAAAATTATGGTGTTCAAGTTTATATAATTTATAACTTTAAAAAATCGATTAACAGTTGCCGTTCGTTCTGATCATCTATTTAAAATAAATGTATCGGAACATATAGCCGATAATGTCATGCAAAAAAATCGTACTTTTATCACTGGAACAATAATTAATTCATCAGAGGACGAATGACTACAAGTGGCGCTAAATTGTAACAATATGTACGAATACTTTTTTTTCATGGTCGCGTTTTTCACAACGGTTGTGAACGCAGTTAATTATGTTAACTGTTCACTAATAATGACACAACAAACTCAAACATAACGGCAACAATGAAATGCGCAAAACTAAATAATTTCTAGCGATCAAATAAAAATTACTTTATTAATGCCTGTTATTTTACAAAAGTTTTTGTTAATGAGTTTGATGAGCTTGTATTATGATTTATTTGGTTACTAAACGTTAATTATTAATATAAAGATAAAGGTACAACTTATAAGTAAAGTAAAGGTACGTAGTATATGTGGGCGATAATATTTACTTTCCATATATGTAATTTTAATTATGTGGATGTGGTTCGATCATTGAATTAGATAGACCCTTTTTTAAATTAGCCATCTTGTCTTGTCGTGTTAAGGCCATATTTGTTGTTTCATAAAAAGAGCTAAAATGAGCGATGGTAGAAAAAGATTAAGTGGGAGTCAATATGCAAAATTGCAAAAAGACAAAGAATTGAAAAACAATACGGACTTGGATAGAACGAAGAAAATCAACAAGTTTTTTCAGTCGGCGGTCAGTGGAAGTGGAGATCAACTGGAAGAACGAAATGATACTGAAGATAAGTTAGTCGATGCGTTTTTCATTAGTGCAAGACATTTCTTTGAAAATATTGTTTTTAAAAATTGATTTGGCTAAAATTTCGCATACAAATAATATTGCTGTCTATCTATAGGTCCAGTTTAGCATGTAACGAAGAGAGATCATACGCGGTTGAAGAATCTAAGACTGAGACAAATGATAAATCAAATGTCTCAGATGATGATGGGTTTGTTTGTCTTTTTTAAAAATCTAAATAAGAAATAATGAAACATTTTGGTTAAATTACTTCACCTGAATAAATATCTTTCTTGTATCTCCA